ACCTTTATGTTATCAATTTCCTCTAATTATATGTATTACTGTATATAGCGGTTGAAAGGGTTTCATCATTCCAAAGCCCGCTTAGATGTGGGGAGGCCATATCCAAATCTAAGGTACAGGCTTTTCAAGAGGTTTGCTTGGAGCTGGATCCTTCTCTCAAGGTTCGGGTTTGGGGCTCGCAGCATTTCATCCTAAACCATGCGCTCATCACAAGCTATCTTGTATGAGAACTGTTTTGATCATGTGTTTTCACACGTGCATGCGCACAATATAGCTTTCCCCTGTGGCACATGTGTAGGCCATACATGGCCATAATATGGCATACCCCAAAACTGTTTGGCACGGTTCACATTCAAACACCTATATACATGTGCACATGGGTGTGTATGACTATATAATATATTTTTATACCTGACTGCCTTATGTTTTTGGTGGCCGCCTGGAGGACGTGGTGGAGGAAGTCAACAGGAAGATTGCAGAACGCAGAGCTGATCGCAGAGCTGCTCGCAACGCTTGCAATGCGTCTGAGGACATGCACCATGGCTATAGTATTACTCCCCAACATACTTTTCAGAATGAGCTTATCAAAATAAACTGTACGTATAATGGATTTCTTTACAATTCCTTTTCTTCATGATGTTATGGTTTGGAATTTTATGTTTATAGTTTTTTTGCATGCAACCCCTTCAAAAGGAAACATATAATTTCTCCACCCGTCACATGTGAATCCTCCCAGTCCAAACACCCAGTCGCATGCAGGACACAACTTCAGAAGCAGAGGACGAAGAAGCCGGGGGAGTGAAGGGTTCAGATGACAGTAGTGAGGAGTCTGATGCATCATCTGCGGGTCATGTGGCCAAACCTTCTGAACCGGAAGCTCCAAAGGGGAATGGGGATTCCAGCATCGTAGAGGGGGGAGAGGTTACATCGAACCCCAAAGAAACGATGCTTTCGGCAGATGGAAGTCCAGAGGATAAAGCAAGACAAGACACAGAGATGAAACCATGTGAGAAGTCAACCCCCGAGGTGCATGATGCTACAGGCCCAAAGGACAGTGCAGGCAAACCCGAAGAGAGCACCCCAGCTTTGGCATCAGAAGCCAAACAACCCCAGGTGGAGCCAGTGAATACTACTGCTACAAGTAAAGATGATACTGGTAGTGAGTGTATCTTTGCCCGCAAAAAGTATATAGCGATGTTTATCGATTTTAGCAAACATGATTCTATTCCTTTCAGTTTGAAAAGTGTTGGGGTTGTCCAGTCTCTGCTTTAAGGTAAGGCAGCAGTCTTGCAAAAGAAAAGAGAAGAAATCATGAACAAGCTGGCCAAGTTTTCAGCCTGCATTCAGGTATTATTTGTTTAATCATTTTTCTGTTCGTCTTGGAATTTGGGAAATATTTGAAACCAATTTGCCATTCATGCATTACAACGCACTATGTATATTGTATTTTACATAACTTAACCAAGAGATGCCTGTTATTGATTGGTTATATGTATAAAATTTAAGATTTATATATCGATCGATATAACCATCGCCCATATAGCACTGAGGCTTCGAGAATTGAAAGCAAGTGTGTCTTCGGGTTCTTCGAGTTCTTCGGTTGGTTCGGCTGCACCAGGCCATGAGATTATATATATAGAGAGAGAAACGCTGCAATTTGTACGAAAGAACAAGATATCTAAAATGTGAAAGTTACAGCGGCTCTGAGCGTGTATGGTGTGTACTGTTCATTATACTTTTCATTCTGTATGATATTCTTTTGTGTTGGGACCCGGTCGCAGGAAAGCCTGAGACTATGACAACACCGGTTGTCGGAACGGATAGCCTTGAGACACAGCCCATCGATGTGATGAACATGAACCCACCACAGCAGCCCCAGAACATAGAGATTTCACCGGGACACTCGGCAGTGACCAAGCGGGAGCGTTACCAAAACAAAGGACATGTACCAGACAAAGTCGCGACACCCCAGAAGAAGTATCTGAAAGAAAACCCCAAGGGCAAGGTAAAGAATGAGAAGGGCAAGGAGGAATTCACAGAGAGTGATGCAGAGGCCGGCACAACATATATACTTGAATTTGTATGACATGACCCGGCCAATGGCGGTTCAATTGCACTATCCATGGCACATGCCTCAAAAAAAATGGTTTGATGTTAAAATTCATGTGGGTGAAATATCATAAATATTGTTCATGTGTGGTAAACGTTTTTCTTAGCGGAATGCTTTGAAACTTGTCCTGTCGTGTCACCTATGTTTCTGGGTTGAGTGTTCACTTGCCAGGCTCCGCCTGCCCCTGCCAAGACGACAAGGCTTGATCAACTCCAGATGAAAGCCAAAACGAAGGCAACCGATGATACTGGAGAGGAAAAGGCACCGAAGGGAAGAGGCAGAGGCAAAGGGAAAGGTCGAGGTCGAGGACGGGGTGGCCAAGGTAAGGGAAACCAAGTCAAACAAGACCCTGAGGGTACAGAAGCAGAACCATCAGCACCACCAGAGAAACGAAAGAGGACGCCCAAGGGCAAACACAAGGAGGAGGATTGGGCAGCGTGGGGCACTGATGGAGCCTGGGCTCAGGGGTGGGGTGATGATGATTGGGATGAAGAGGGGTGGGCATGGGACAGCCTAGCTTGGTGGGACAGCCAATGTACAACTGCAGAGCTAGGTCAGCCCGACCATAAGAAAGCAAAGACGAACAAGAGCCGCAAAGCATCCACCACACAAGCAGCAGATGCAAGCATTGGAGAACATACAAAGGAAGAAGACAAGGTGAAATGGTAAGAAGAAGAAGAAGAAGACATGCACCCCACAGGATGAAGAGATGACAGCAAAGCCAGTCACAACGGATGAAACAGAAACACCAGCATCTCGCAAGAGCAAGAACAAGAGTGGCAAGACAGCCCAGCAGAAGAAGATGGAGAAGATTAGGAGGGACAAAGCCACGCCCATGGACAAACCAAAGCCTGTCAAGACTAGCAAAAGCAAAAGAGGAAGAGAAGCAAGCACCCACACTGAGGCAGCACCTGCAGACATTCCCAGCCTAGACGACCTACCGGTCAGAAAGCAAAAGAGGGTGGTACAAATCATGTCTTTCATGGCGGGGTTCAAGAATATGGAGGATGACGCTGCTCAGTTGTTGATGCGGGGAAGGCTAGAGGACTTCAAGGCTTGCAGAATGAATGTCTATTGGACCAGGGGTGCAGTTGGGTTGCACATGAGGAAGGAGCGAAAGGATTTTGCATACTTCCGACCCCTGTGCCGTTCTGACTTCAAGTGCCCCCCCAAGTTCCAAATGGCAGCCGCAATGAAAGGTGCTGAGATACTAGCACCTTGGTTTTTGAATTCTGGGGTGTCCAATCATTCACCGTACAACTGCATATACAATACTATATATGTTCAATTTTTCAACCTGGCAAATGTTGAATGTATTTGAATGTGCTAGCTGCTAGTGGGGATGTGTATGGAGGTGTGCAAGTTTGAGCAGCTCCTACCAAATTATATTCTGTAAACTGTTCATTTCCCTTAACACTTCTTATTTCCCACTGCTCCCCAAGGCCCGCTTTGTCGACAAGAAGGCGGCAGAGCTGGATGAAACGAACCCTGATGCATTGGTCACGGAAGACCAGACCGTGATCGAAACCAAGGATGAGATGAAGCAACTCACCATTGATGCTGTGAATATTTTTGCACTCAACAAGTTTGAGCTAAATCTGAAATGATTTGGCAAATCTTTGCCATATAGTCCAGCGGCTACATGTGCGGCGTAGGCAGTGTGTTCGCACAGTGTGTTGGGTTTGCAAGGTGAAATCATCTTGCCAAAATGGGAAAACATAAATACAACATGTGCATGTTCAGCACACGGCAGGCGGCACTTCCAGTGAACCCCTATGTCAAACAAACAACCCCTAATTCATTAATTTCTAATATTTGTAAATCAGCTGTTTTTGACCTTTTGGTTCTCATCTCGCATCTTTGACGGTTGGGGAAGGATCACATGGCGTAGTATGAAAAGTTGAAATTACCCAGGGCATAGCATTGACCTGACTTAGATGTTGAAGGCTGGCTGTTCTCCGTTTCATTTATGCTGAAAACATCTCGAAACCATCAAGGTGAGCTGTTTTAACCACAAGTAGTATCCCCATAAGATGATTCTTGGTGACCACAGTTGACAGCCAGCCTCACTCTTGGCAGAACTGGTTGGTTTAACAGCCGCGTTAGATTGAGGATTTTGCGATCAGCTGCAGGAAAAAAAAACTTGGATTTCAAGGGTTTCAGGGACAATCCCCTTATGTAAAAAAATTGTAGATGCACAGCTCGAACCCTCTCACGTATAAAAGGAATTAAAGAATATAATTTTATGGCAATGATAAATTGGAAATATCAAAAGTCAATCATTTCTGATCTCCATCACCCTGGCACACCGCTTGCCAGCTTCCACTTGCACCGGTCCTAAGGCCAGGCCATTGGCGAAAAGTTCATAGGCGGAACAGCCTGTGGCAGGTCAGGGTGGAGACCCTCAAGAAAAAATGTATGCCTGGGCATGTTTTGAGAGCAGGGTCGATCCTGATGACAAATCTTTTATTGTCTTTAAGAAACCGATGATGCGTATAGCATGTTGAACTTTGGTCTGCAGCCATTTCGGTCGTAGTGGAGGGAACAGGTGTACCATGCCATATATATACACTGAATTAGATTTGACTCAATGCATCCATCAAGTGTTATCATGTGGTCGGATGTGGTCAGCATGTGTTCTTCACTGGACTTCTGCGTTTTACCTGAACAGTGTGTAGCAATGCCCAACTTGGATGCACTGGTTTGGCGTTTGTTCCGCCTTCGCGTTCCGAAGGAGTCTTAGTGATTGTCAGTTCACCCAAGTGACCTGCCACCAAACACCAACATGATGAATTTGTTTTGAGCTCATTTGGAATTTGCATCAAACCTCAAGTATTTCTTTTAATATACCCTAAGTTGGTGCCCAAACGCCAGCCCGCAGGAGTTTGTGATGATAGTCTTATTGCTGCTTTGGTCCTATGACTGTCAGCAGGCAGTCTCAGCGTTGGGGCGCATGGTACACTTAAATTTTAGATGATTCAGAACGTCATAGTGCGATGTACAATTTTTTTTTATATGCAAATAGATGTTAAGTATATGTTTCATGTCAATTCAAACCACTTAAGTATCAACATCTAGGATGCCACCAACCTTCTGCCGGCCTTTGCCAGGAGTTCGAATGGCTGGAGTACTTTGCAGGTACTGGGCACCTGTCGGCTGTGATGGCAGCTGCGCAATATAGATCAATCAGGTTTGACCTTCTTGACAATGACAAGCCCCATCACCGTCGATCAAATTTCATGAACTTAGCACACCCATCAGGGTTTGCGTTTCTTGGTTGGATATGATGTCACAAGATATATATATATATATGCTGTGAAACAATATTTCTGAGCAGTTGGTATACTGTTGTCAAACGGGTCTCCCCATGAAAGTCGTAAAGCCAAGGTTAGCTACACTTTTCATGCTTCGAACGGTGGAGGGCGACTTTGGCTGTCACCTGGGATTGAAGTGCAGTTCCTTCTGCAAAATGAATGTTGGTACCAGTGCCCGGTCAGCATGTGCCGCAATTGGCTGGGAACCATACGAATCGGTTTCTCTTGGAAATATGCTTCTAGAGAGGACAGCCTTCTGTTTTGCAGCTGTTCAATTCAAATTTACTATTTTTGCTGGTTGAGCATGCAAACTGGTCACACCTTATCATGATAGGAACATGTGAATGATATATACACGCCCATCCCGTTTCAGGAGCTGCCTCCTGATCTACCTGGCCACGTGCTTGGGAGGCGTGTGGAGCCTGGAACAGCCGGCGGGAGCACTGACGGAGTATTACCCAGCATTCAGGGAGACCGTCCAAAACATATTTGAATGTGGAGGGCCAACAGCTGCCAGGGCCCCATTTTGACAAACCAAAGCCTTGCAAGATTCAGCAATTGCACTTACAATCTCAAATGATCGGTTTATACTTTGGTTTCATTTGAGGTGTCCCATCCCCTGTCGTAAGGTCCAATGCGTCCGGTGGTGGATGGGGCATTACAAAGCTCCTACACCGAAAAGGCACTATGCCTATAGCAATAGCCCTGCAATCAAGCGTATCGACAAGGGTGTTCTTCAGGGATGGAAACAGAAGGGCAAGGCCAAAAACAAACCAGTTGAACATTACGTGGACTCCAAAGGGCGTAAGAGGTACAAGGGTACCCCTTCCCTACGATCCACTGAGAATCTTTGATTTCCAATTGTGGTTACGGTTTTGTTGTGAAAAATACACCAATAAAATATATATAATATGATGTTGTGGTACTATATATGGGTTGACGAGTTGTTTTCAAGTATAATGCACCTTGATTGATTCTGAATTTCATCTACAATGATTCCAACGCTGAGTGATTCTGATTACTTTTGATTACTATAGCTGATGACTGTTTCCCAAGTCAACCCATCCTGGCGCTCAGGATCTACCCTGTGCCTTTTGCCAGAGAAGTCTGCGACTTGATGGAGCTGATGAAGAAAACGCGGCTAGGCCAGCCTGAGCTACCAGCAGTTCTGCCCGATGCACTCGAAACTTTTGGGAACTTACAGGTCGCTGATCCATTAGTCTGGCGCAAGGTAAATTTACCAAGCGTGTATAATTATTTGCGACGCAACAAGAAGTTGAACATTCCTGTCGAATGGCAGCATGTCATGCCAAAGAAGATTGGCTGAGTTCTTTGGGTGTCATTGACTGAAATAATTCAGAAATTCCAAATGCAGATTCGAAAGATTCAGAAATTCGAAATCCGGATTCGAAATGATTCAGAAATATACGATTTTTTGAGATTTTGATCAAAAAAAAAAAGGGTTGATTCGAAACCCGTACTCAACCCGTACTCAACCCATTATTTACCCGTAGCAACCCATTATTTTAGCTGGAAAACATCAGGTTTTACGTAAAACCCCGGTTTTTCCAAACCCGTACTAAACCCATATTTTACCCATACTAACCCATTATTTTTTAATGGGTTTGGATGACCCCCATGGAACTCATTTTTTGAGCTCTTTGCACGAAAATTTCGATGCCCGATTCGGAGCTGGAATACCCGCTTCAGAAACAACTATGTCAAATTAGACCAATTACCGGTGCCCTGTCAGAACCATATGCATGGTCGAAGATCAGGAAAAAAAAACAGTGTCGCTGATTGAGACTCGGCTCATGTCTTCTGATCAAAACACAATGTGATGAGCAGTCGGCAGAGGCAGCTAGATCGAAAGTCGTAGATATAGTCAGCTTGAGCCTGCCGTGTTGCTTTATGGCCCAAACATTATACATTTAGAATGTAAATAGTCGGATTGAGGGTTCCATCCTGGCTTCAATGTCTCAGATTTCTACCTTAGGGTCTAGCTGTGCCACTCTTGAAGATGGCATCAAACACGTGGAGATTTTGAACGAAGAGCAGTCCCTGCTGATGGAGTTACAGGACCATTTTGTTCCCCTTTGAATGGAAATGGAAGATAATGAAACTACCAATTCAGCATTGGCAACTCTGACTTATAACATTTTTGGTTGGAACTGAATCTACAATCTTCAACACCACTAAGCTGGTAGCGCTGGTGAGGACTTGGACTTCGAAATGAACAAGCTTGGAGTTTCACCTTGGGAAGATGGATCTAGTGTCGAATCCTTAAAATTTGTAGATTACCCAAAATCCCTGCATATAGCCACGGCCCCACCGCTGAAGGCTGAGAAGCTTCTGAACATATCAGCCCAGGAGACACAGCCAGCCATGTCCTTGGGCGCGCTTGAAGTTGAGGGTGGGAAGAGTTTTGACTTTTTGTGCAATGTTTCCACCTATGTGCAGTGCTAATCACAAGTATCGATCTTTTTAGGACTTAAATGCGAAGTGCAAAATCCCAATGATGAAGCCATGATTTATTTTATTCATATTTTGCCTCGAGGCTTCTGATGCCGAGATCAAAGCCATGAAGGCAGCGGAGGTGCAAAGGGGATCGTATCTGGATTTCATCCCAAAAACTGTTTATATAATTAAGGTAGCCAAACATAAATACACTTGGCACGTCAAAGACATGCATCGAATATATACTTTCCAGTGCATCACCCTGAGAAAAAAATAACATCACTTTAGATCAAACTTAGTTCGCCCAGGTTGCTACTGAGAAGAAGGACATCGTACCAGTTGCAACACCATGCAGGTCTCAAGTGCCTGAGGCAACTCCAGAGGCCCCAAAGGTCCCTGCAGAGCTTCCAGCCCAGTCAGATGCCAAGGATCAGCCTGGCTCTGTGGAGGAACTTCCAGCCAAACCTGAGCCCGTGCAGTCCGAGCCCCGCAAGGCAGCAGGGTCTTTCGTGAGTTGGCTTATGTTAGAAAAATAATGCTATATTGATGCTATATAATCGATATTATATTAATGCATTATCACCTGGGATTGAAGTATTGAGAATGATGACATTGCTTTGGTTATACTTCAATCTTTGTGCTATGCACCTGTGCAGGTGCGTCTGCGGAGTGCAGCCAAAGCTCGGTTGATTCGCTGGGTGAAGCCTAAGTCGACACGTCTTGATCGAAACGCACCGGACATCGTGAAGACACAGTGGGCGACAGGGAATAAAAACGCCTTGGCAGATCTTTTCTCCAAGCTCAACTTTTGTGAGGATCGATATGTTAGATTGCTTTTGGAATCATTCACATCCAGGCATCCACATGTAAAACACCATGTTCCACCCTTCTACAACCACGGCATCACACACCCTCTAGGATGAGTTTCTGAACCAATTGAAGATCATCGTGAGCAAGAAGCAGTTGATTGAACTTACCATCGATGAGGGATGGTATGCCGAGTCAGAACTCAAAGATGAACTTGGATGGTCACAGCCCTGCTCTCAGTGATTTTTGTCAACTCAAGTTTTATGGTAAGTTGAATGATATATTATATTGTATATATTGCATGACCTGTAAATGGATATAATGACCCACATTACTGATCATCTTTCCTGGCCAACCATCCTCTTTCCAGGCAGAAGATTGATGGTGCCAAGAAGCGGTGCAAGACCCTTGGAGACTCTCACTACAGGCTCGGCACCGTCACCTCCAACACGGTGCAAGTCCAAACTGGCAATTTGGGGAATTCAATTTACATGGAACCCTCAATTTACATCATTATACATCATCCCAATCCATGTTCTCATACGTTCTTTCGGGTCGACATATGTTTAAAGCTCTCCCAATTCAGTCAAAGAATATCCCTTTGCTGAGGCACAACATGTATGATGGGTCGGAGGAGTTCTGGGTGGTGGTCAAGGAGAAGGGAAAGCGTCAGGAGAGTGCGTCTTTCGAAGAGATCCACGAGAAGAATGGTAAGGCCTGGTTGTCATATATGGTCAGGCTTTGTCATTTTATGATATATTTTATGTACATGCATGGCTATTTTACATGTGGTGAATAAACATGCACACATGGCTTCAAGCTCTTACATAGATCCTGTGCCTTTCTATACTTTTCGTAGATCGATATAGGCTTGGCCCACAGCTTCTCTGTGAGGCTGAATCTGACCCTACTTTCCAGTACGAAGGCATGTTCAAAGGCTTCGGTGCGCTTGACACACGCCAAGCCAACGAGAAGAACATGTTGAAGAACATGGGACCCGATGTGGAATCGAAATATGCACAGGTGTGGTGAATTTTTTTGACATGACATGACGAGATTACAAAGGGAGCTATATATCTATATATACAGTTGAGCCTAAAGTATGTACTGTCATATTCAGCATGTGCATTTCTAAAATGCTTTCAATCACACCTCTTCCTTTGATCCCCTGGTAGACGAAAGACCGTTTCAAAAAGTTTATGGATTCAATGATGAGCAAGAGTGGTAAGCTGCGCTCACTGATGAAAGACTTGAAGAGCAAGTATTCCGACACTGACGCAGCAGAGTGTTGCCCTTAATTTTTGCGGGTCTTGCGGGTCCCGTTTTGCACCACGGTTTGGGATCCACAAAACACCACATGTCCCCCAGCCAGGTCCCATACATCACCTTTGCCGAGGTCCGTCCAGCAGCTGAAGACACAGATCACCAACCTCGATCAGGAGTTTGACAAATGTCAAGAGGTTTGGACAAGGGGTGAGGCTGAAGGATTCTTCACTGAAAAGTTTCTTATCTACAACACATTCCTGCAAACATGGATGTGAACATAATTCAATCGCAATTCCTTTGCATGAGTTATACTTATAGGAGTCCTCTCATATGATGATATATAATTTTACATATTTTCTGATCAACCAATTTAAGCAATGTTCAGCCCAAGGTTTTACAATGATGCTGAGAAAACGATGAAAGTTGCCACACTTGCGTGGGGAACCCAAGTGGTGCTGAAAGGGCCAGATTCCTTTCCTTGATCCCTTTTGGGGTACATATCAAATTGAGTGATGAAATCTTGGCACCACCCAACCCTATATCTTCATACCAATTCTTCCCATCCAATCGGCTGATTTGTGCCCAGGTGCTCAAAGGCAGTGGCTGCAGAGATGAAGACGAGGCGAAACCCTACCTCGGTCAGAATCAACACTTTTGGTTATCTTATATATGCATGTCATGTTATTGATCTCAACCCTAGAGGGAAAGCTACATGTATATCCTACAGATTTGGGTGCCCCCATTTCACATCTTGCCATGCATGACAATCTCACATGCCAGGAGCCAGAAAAAATACTGAGAAAGCCGAGCAGAACGACAACAAAGAACCCAAGGGCAAGAAGGACAAGAAGGAAAAGGCAGTTGATAAATCCGATAAGGAAAAGAGCAAGGACAAGACTGAGGGCGGGGGTAAGAGCAAAAAGTCTAAGGGTAAACATGCTGATGATGATGGCCAAGAAGATGCTGCCCCGTCCAAACGCCGCCGTCGGGATGCATCCAAGGGGCAGTAGACTTAATGCCCAGGTAGTTTTTCACGAACCTCAAGTGGCGTGTTTTGCTCCATGCATAGGGGCTGGTGCTTTGCTCACATTCTTACATAAAAATTGGTTGATACTTTTCTCATTCAACCGTTCAAGTTCTGAGAGCTGACATTTTTGAGCAGCCACCAGATGGCAGGGAGCAGTTAGGCACGCACTCAATCTTTTGATTGGTCTGAATGTGGCAGCAAAGCTGCAATCTTGTTCTGTGGTGATAGATTGATGACCGAACTCTATCACGATGTTGTCTCAAGAAGCTTTGTCGATGGGAGAAAAAAACATCGCCATGACAGTGGTTGAATCTGGAGTTCCCTCTTTGCGTCATTCCCCCTTATGACCCCAGCATGACTGAAACTATATATATGTTTCTTACTTGATAATGACCTCATGCAAGGATGGATTCTGAAGTACATGCAACATGTGCATTTATGGCACCTTATCCTATCCACCATGCATTCCCTGGCCAGGTCCATCACCAGGAAACGTCATCAAAGGCTTTGCAAAGCGGATCGGTGATGGTGCTGGGCACTCAACCTGATTGCCGAACACAGGTGGCAAATGGTAGAACTCAATCATCAACGATGTGGCCCAATAAGTCGGCATATTTCTAAAGCAACCAGAAACAAGTATTTAATATAGTCACTGGACATATTTGCATATATATAATATATACAAAATCAAGACCTGCATTGTATCTCTGTAGGCCTTAGGTTCAAGCTTTGTCAAATATCAATGGCGTGTTTCCCCGTGTATAGCACTCAACAGCACGCTTGGCATGAGCGATGAAAGTCCAGAGGATGAGCTCTGGGATCTGTTGACTTGCCACCGTAATGAAACTTGGAAAACGAATCGAACAATTTTTTGTCATGTTTGATTTTTGCAGTGATAGCTGGGACTGCATTTTGGTGTCATACACTTGCATTTATATATCTCTGTCCTGGCATTACATGAGTCCAGGAGAGCTTGAGACCCTACCCATGGCCGAGAAGCAGGAGCCCGAAGCGTGGTGGATCTCCACCTCATTTGCAAAGCACTGATGTCAAGACCAGCACAGGTGACACTTCAGGTTCTAGTTTGACACCTGCTATGGAACAGAGTTGGGGGATCAAGCTGCGCAAATCTTCCAACAATTTGGGGGATGATGAAGATCACTTTGATGAAACTCTGGGGGTTCTACGATACATGTTGCCATCACCAGGGGTGACAGCTGGCCGTGTTCTCCACCATGCCAAATGTTCAGTGGCAACTTTGCTTCGAAAAAACGAGCCCATGATCTACAAGATTGGATACACACATGACCCTGTGTGGAGATGGTCAAACAAATTATACGGGTACAAATTTGCCAAAGACCGCTGGAGTCATATGGTGGTATTATACCAATCAGTGGAACCATTTGGACCTGCAATGCTGGAAGCCTGTTTAATAGACATGTTCAAGGGTATCTTGCTTTGATTCAGACCTTCTTTTTCCCAAACCACAAAAACATTGATATACGTGGGAAAGTGTGGACATTGAATCTACTGCATATAAGGTTGTATAATATAGTGCAAAGTTACGGTTTCCCTCGTTCTTCCTCAAACACTCCCAGGTAAGCCAGGTTGCCGCAATGAAAGAGCAGGCGGTGACACGGTGATGATGCCATCGCATTCCTCAGATAACAGTACATGCTGCACATACATTGTGTACAGGTCATTCAAGACTCCACCCCCTGTTCGGCCAATAGGGCCACTGCGGGTCAGATCAACTTGCCAATAAAATTAAAATGTTCGATTTTGGGATGTACAAAGATATGCGAATTGCCGTGTGGAATGCATACACACAGCACACAGTCTCACAAAACCAAAGGGAGCCGCCACCTAAAACAGAGTCCAACTTTGCTGCTTTGGCCGACTTCTTACTTATCTTATATATGTTGCATTTGGATTGATCTTTGACTTTGCATCCCCCCAATCTTAAGCTGATAGATGAATCTTGATGGTCCATGTTTCGATTACACCATTCCCTGTACCACTTGCGTGGACTGTTCCTTTTGATGTTTGTCGTTCGCCTAGGCCCCATGTTCTTCTGCTATCTCTACAGCTCGGGACGTTGTATCTGACGTTGGTGAGAGGGCTGCGTTCAAGTCAGGGGGATTGATGGACATCGCCCAGTGTAGTCCCCACAACCCTGAAAGAGATTGTCAACGAGTGCTAGTCAACAAATACCAGTTGGCGCTTCCAGTGCAGAAAACTCAGCTTGGGGAAAATGACAAGATTCCCATCCTGAAAATTCGGCATTGGTTCGAGTTCTTTCATCGACACTCTTGCCTACATATCCTTCACGGATTACAGAACAGGGATACTGCCAGGGAACAAGCAATACTTTCTGCTTTTTGGGCGAACTTTGAGAAAGTATACCCTGGCCACCAATTCTTCCAAGAGGTTTCTCAGGGAAGGATTGCCGCAGAGAGGGCCATCCCTCTGGTTCTTCATGGGGATGAAGGCCGTGGCCGGCATCATAGTGCACACTTTGTCTTGAGTTTCCATTCCCTATTGGGGAAGGGCTTCGGGAAAATGAAAGGAAAAGACCCCTGGGCTAGAATGGAATGCAATTTCGATGGACATACGTACACGAACAGATTTCTCATTGCAAGCCTTCGGAAGAAAGATTACTCAGACCTGCAGTGGGAAACCTGGGGTGCCCTCATGGATCATGTCGCTCAAGATGCTGGTTCACTTTGGAAGGCAGGCGTTGTCAACCAGTATGGTGTCAAGTACTGGGGTGTTGTCCTGGGTCTTTGCGGAGATTGGCCCTTTTTACACAAGTCAGCCAACTTCTCGAGATCTTTTAACAACATTCAAAAGCGTGTGGTTGTGAAGAACCCCCCTGCAGGGATCTGTCACTTATGCAGAGCTGGCCAGCCAGACATCGCTTTTGAACAATTGGAAACCCGTCGGCCTGACTGGTTGGGAACAGAATTCACCCAAGATCCATATGTTGAACGACCCCCATTTGTGGACCACCTTTTGTATGAACCTGGAAAGGATGCAGCACTGTGGAATTTTGACTGGTTCCACACTATGCACTTGGGGGTGCTACGAAATTTCTTGGGCTCAGTGTTGGCGTTGCTTTCACAAGAAGAAGACCATGGTGCTATAGACGATAGGTTTGCAGCCTTGACTGAAGACTACAAAACATGGTGCCATCAGAATTCTCGACGGGCCTATGTGTCAAAACTGTCAAAAGAAGCAATAGGATGGGACACGACAAACCAGTTTCCATCAGGGACATGGCACAAAGGTGGTTTGACTACAGTGTTGATGGAGTACTTGGAAGCTCGTTTTGCCAGGCAATCTTTCCCACATGAACCTTTGCTGAGCTTGGCCGCTGAGGCTTGTGATGCTATCCAAAGACTTGGTCGGCTTCTTTACAGGTCAAGTTTGTGGCTAGAGCCGGAAAGGTGCAAGTACTGTGCTGAGCTTGGGCTCAAGTTTTTGAGAAGGTATTCACAAATGGCCACTTTGGCCAAATCGCAAGGACGACACCTTTTCTCACTACAGCCCAAAATACATGTTCTACATCACTTTGTGCTGCAACTTTGGGACGCACATGTGCGTGGAGTTAAGATGTTAAATATCTTAGCTACAAGCTGCCAACCTTCAGAGGATTTCATTGGCCGTCCATCACGGCTAAGCCGTAGAGTGACCAGCCAATCTCCAGTTTTACATAGAATCATGCAAAGGTATCTTCAATCCGTATACCACCACTTTATCCAAGCTGGTTTCTTGGTAAGATCAAGGGGTTGAAGATCTTAAATGCAACATCGAAGATCAATCCAAATGCAACATAATATCTTAAAACATAAGACCGTCTTTAACCCACTGAAGTGAAGCCGAGAGTCAGTCAGGATGCGTAGATCGTCCGGGGGCTTTGAGACACAAAGGTCCGCAGCAGATCCCTTCAACTCTGACAATTTGGTCAAAATGAAAACATCGGGTTTTCCCCGAAAACATCGGGTTTTGATCAAACATGTTATTTTTAAAGGTTTTGGTTGATCAAGGTATAGTATATAGGATCTTTATGAATCAAATGTCAAATGTGAGCCACATTTGAATGAATCTCAGCGCAGCGCCGGCCCACTATTTAATCAGAAATCAACCGCTCCGAGTGTCGCACTCCAGAGAGGAGGATCAATCCCACAGGACCCAAGATCGATGGGTTTCTCGACCTTGATTCAACGGTCACCAGCAAGGGACCAAGGTCCGTATGGGTGAAATATGCTGCCCGAAATGACCGAAATGGGCTGGTGGATGATCATCGACTCTTCTCTTGCCATGTGATATATTGTGATATGTGATGTAATCAGGTCGTAAAAAAATGTAGCAATACTAGCATATTATTCTCTAATGTTCTTGGCAGATACCTTGGCCGGGTAGCAGCCAGGGAAGATTCCAAGGGACCGGCACGACCTCTTTCAGGATCTGCCAGTCGGTCATCATGTCAGGATGATTGGGCCTGGACGGGTCATGGCCTGATGGCCACATATGGCCGCCACCTCCAACCGAAGAAACCAGAACAAGTATGACAAGTATTAACCATCATTGACCATTCTGAACCATTATTAAGCATTATCCGTTATGAACCATTATTATCCATGATTAACCATTGAACAACTGTTGCAAAGAAGCAACATTCGAAGCAACAAGAAAAGACTTGGGATCTCGTGTCATGTTGCACCATGCAACACATGCCGGCGGGACCATTGACTCACCGGGTGGAGGGTGAACAGTGAAGCCGTAAACAGCGCTAGCCTTGTTGCGAAACACAGCCACTGACGTTGCGACGTAACTTTCATGGCGCTCCACCTGCGAAGGATTCTGTGGGCTCCACCCTGCTGGTCCAGACATATAGCAAACTTTGTCAAACCTGGCATGTGGCAAAGGAGATTTGGATGGAGCTGGGTAGTGCCATATGATGATGTGGCACGCCGCAAAAGAAGGGTTGGTTCCGAGGAACCAAAAGAGAATGACTGCAAAAAATGCACAAAAATTGCGCAACCACCGCTAGAAAGAAGAACTCATCCGAGACACACCTGGTCTGATCTTCCAAACTGTCTTTTGTCAGGATCCAACTGAGATTCCAACGCACTAAGCCGCTTGATGTTGCCAGCCATCACCATATTGGCTGCACCCGCAAAGATTGAAGCAACTGTGATTGAGACGCCAAGCCTCAGCTGGTGGCGTGGAAGGCCGTCACGGTGACCTCACAGATTGCGCTGAACACAAGGCTTAGTGCCGCTGACTAACTGCAAATGAATTATTTATCTCTATTATTCATTCATCTGATTTATCCGCAAATAATTATATCTAACATGGACAAACTGAGCACCCTCGCGACAAAGCTGCTGACTCTTCGGAATTGGTGTGGCTCTTTGCCTCGATGTCGACACTGAGCACCAGCAAGTCCAAAGTGATCAGAATGTCAGCAGATTTTAGTAGACTCAACTTGCACAATCTGAACAGTGGAATTTTAAAGATTTCTTTAGTTAAACAAAACATGGTTTTTCTATGTTTTTCTTCGATTTCCAAAAGCCAATGATTTTGTGTTCAGCTGCAGTGCTGCACAGGGTACCCGACCCAGCTGGCAATGCCTGCGCAAATCACACCTGGCGGGCCCGCGACCGAGGTTTCGACAGGGGATGCTGACTGGATACAGTCCCCAGTCCTGTCCCCATCCAGTCAGCATCCATCCAGGTGGTATCACTTTGTCATTTTTGTGCTATTGAAAAGCTGCAAAAAAAAAGGCATCTCAAGGCTCAAGATCCATCATTCTGCGAATATCTCACAGGCACAGGGGCATCATGGCGCATCATATGATCTTCACACAAGCTGCCACCACATGTTGCGTCAAATATCTCAAATGAAAACCCCACTGATCAAAACGTTCAAGCTTTGTGCAAGAGACCAAGTCATGCCTTCAGGCAAAGCTCTCATGTACATCATTTAATGTCATTTATATACTTGACTGAAGAAAATGTGCTGGTTGACCGTTGCACATTATCGTCACAAAACGACACAGCACTGCCTGTCAACATAAACACCCATTGCTTTTGGTTGAGGTTGGACTGGCACGAGAGCACAGGCAGGATCCAGGATGGTGCGAGGAAAAACTGGAAAAACTGCCGAATTCATTGCCATCAGACTGGCCCGACAGTTTTCCAAATGCCTGTGGGAGTCCAAAACGCACAATAAACCCCCAGTGAGTTCCAAAATAACTTGTGTGTTTCAAGGAAACACCAACAATTACCCGGTCGCAAGCACATGCTGACGTTTGAATGCTCATCATGCATGCCTGAACCCCAAAGCCAGCAACAAGTGAGGGCCTTCTGCTCCTTGCCCATAAAGGCCTGCAAAATGGCCTTGATGTGCAGTTCTTTGTGGTACAGCTTCGGTGTCCAGCTCCCCGAGGACCCCACTGTGGACAATGGCAAGCACGATCTGATGATCATATTAATCCTGGGCCACTGCACCACTTGTATGAAAACACATGTCAAACGAGAACCAGCTGCTGGAAAGTCAGTCACTGAAAGTATCTACGTAATCGACTTGGCGTTCCTACCTCGTTCTCCATTCCCCTGCCATTTTTGGGGTTTGATGTGGTTATCCAACATTGCAGGTGTTGTTTATCATTATAGCCAAATGCTACGGATGACATGCACTTCCAAATAAGGGCCATGTCACAGTTATATATATATACATTTAAAACACTATAGGTATCTTCAGCCACTTAAATGGAGGTTTTCTAAAATGGAGGTGCCCGCAAATCATCCATTTTAATCCATTTTAAGGGCTTTTGCATTGTAAACCAACCAGGAATTGGGGTACCATGTATGGAAACCCCCAAATCCACCCAACTCATTCCAACCAAAAAAAAACATAAATCACCATGTTTATGATTTTAATTGATTTTATGGATGGTATGTTTACCATTCCCAGTCAGTGATTACCACATTGCATTGTAAACTACCCACGATCCAAGGTATGACTGCCAAATCTGCCAAGGTGCGAGATGGCCACCAGCGACAAACTGAAGTTGTTGAGGCCGATGTTGGCGGCAAAGGCGAGGCTAAACAACAGCACCGACGCCTCGCAAAACATCTGTCTCTCTGAAAAAAATAGGGGCTGAAAATATGGGATATACCATGATATACCATGATATACCAAGAAGATCAAGGGAAAATGATGGGAAAATGATGAGAACCCATGTGTAAACATAGAATATAACATCTATAAGTATATATTATATATAGCATAATTAATATATACATATATATATATACCTACGAAATCCTCAGGCCATAATAATGGTCTGAATGCATTCAGGCTGAATATTTAACCTGAACTATTTTTTTTAGCCCGAGCAAAAAAAAATAGCCCGAGGCACTTTGCGCAAAAAATGCTGGCTCAATGGTATTGAAATCAATGTCACATATTGAATGGCATGGATAAGGCGGTGCATATTTGAGAAATCCCAGAAGAAACTGTACCATACTGTACCATAATGTCATGCAACCTTCCTACAAATCAGCAATGTCAGAAGCACAAAGCAGCAGCCCGGTTAGCTGACAACTAAATAAATCTGACTGGTTTCCATCCAAACTATAACTTCGTATTCAAAAATGATTCTGTGACATGGTGATAGGTATATTATTTAATTCAAGCATGGTTTGAATTTAAAACAAAAAATAAGAAAAAAACATGAAAAATCTGAACATTTTGAGTTGGGGCATTTTTTGCCCGATTAGTGCGGTTTTTTGCCCGATTAGTGTGTTTTTTTGCCCGAGTTTTTCATGATTTGTTTTGGTCGTTGACCAAATTCAGCCCGATTTTTTCATAAATTCAGGTTTGCAGTTCCAAATCAAGATCAAAATCGCAGAGTCCCAAAACCAATATAGTGGAAAAAAGATGCGTCATGAACCTGTGCAAAGCTTGCAAAATATGCCTTTTACATCATTTTACCACCAATACACGTCAAGCGTGCCACAGTCTGGTAACTTTCTGGATTCTTAATTATTGAGCTTATTGTTTGATCTAATTCTACAGGACGAGAACAGGATACGGTAAGCATTGGGATGACCAGGTAGTTCTTGAGTTCTTCCCTGGTTTGAACCTGATTTCTTACCAAATTCAGGTTGAGATTCAAACAAATCAGCCTGAAAATCAGAAAATAGCCTGAGATCACTCTCAGACCGAAATTTCAGTCTGAGACCCCAAAAGTTTGTTTTTCCTCTTCAGGCTGAAATTATGTCCTTTTGGAGTTCCTAGGTATGAGTGCTCTCGTCAACATCCTTTACATGAGAGTAGTTGCTATTGTTATGGTTGTCGCTTTTGCGGGGGGGCCCCTATCGCTTTCCAGGGTTTTGTGGAAATCAGCATATTCGAGATCCAACATGAAGCCAAAATTCATTCCTAAACAGGCTCGGAAATGGTTCGAGGAGTTATTTTGTTGGTTTCAGGTGCTTCGGCAACACTTCATGTTCCTTTCATTTTGCATTCATTTGCATGCATCTTCCTTTCATTTCCCTTTCATTTTGCATGCATATTCCTTTCATGTTGCATTCATGTCCAGTCATTTTCCTTTCATTATCCTTTCATGTTCCTGTCATTTTCCTTTCATTTGTATTCATTTCCGTTCATTTTCCTTTCATCTTCATTCCAATGTGCATTCATGTCCTGTCATCTTCCTTTCTAAAGTTATGGACATGGCTCCATGGCTTGGCCAGGGGACCGAGTGCAACAAATGGTTATACCGCTAAGCTATCGCTAAGGTTATCGCCAAATAACCCCTCGAACATATGACATTGTTCGAAGGAAATTTGCCACAGAAACGACAGAGTGAGAGAGAGAGAGAGAGATAAAAAAAGAAAGAAAGAAAGAGAGCGAGCGAGTTCGATGCCAAATGATATGGTAACTGCAGGAAACAGGGCCCAATGGGCACCATAGTTTGAATTTCTCTCATCGGTTTTGCCCGTTCTGTGAATGGACTGTCGTGTATGGTCCCAGCTTATCATAACGCTTTTGGGGGGGACCTATCGCTTTACAGTGTTCCGTGCACATCTCTGACAAACAACTTCTGAAATACTAAAGTGGTCTTAAAAATATTGACCGTGACTCATATATACGTATATATATATATATGTATTATTGTATGCTATAATTACAATTATTGACATATAATAGATGATCCGGTTGGAAGTGGAGGCATCGCATCTTCAGACCAACAAAAAGATGTTTTTAAAGATCTGATAGTGGAAACGATTGGTGCTTTTTGATGTGTTTCAACATGTTTCAACGCGGCAGCTGAGCATGCCAACCCACTCGTTCCTCTCTATCTTGGCCACCTGCAAACAGGTCAAGGTTGGTCAAGGTACGTTGTGGGAAGAGTTGCGGACCACTCAAGCACTCCTAGTTACAATCATCAAACAGATTGCTTAACCTTTTTTAATACAGAAATGACTTTTAGGGCCAACCATGGCCAAGCTGTTTTGGGATAAGCGCTATGTCAGGACATGTCTACACAATATCTGCCAGCCGGCGGCCTGCACAAAGTCTAGCGACAGCACACGGCCTTGCAGAAAACATATGGTGAGGATGTCCAGGATTTGGTAATACCGGAACTGATCCAGTATGTAATCATGTAATTATGATTTACTATGATTATAATGTGTATGTATATATATTATATATATACATACGCACATATATATATATATATTATATTATATATATATATATACACAGGAATCTTGATGAGTATTGTAATAATGTTTAGTTTGAGCACTCAACATTATACATTCTCGGACACAAACTCGATGCAATCGCGCAAAGGCTCTCCAGACTACAGAGCGTGATCAAGAATAGCAATAACCTTTGCCTCTGGTGTTTGAAAACATGAACCTTTGCAATTCTGAACCCTACCATTGTTGAGACTGTCTGATTGTCATAATTGATCACAATCATACATATAAGTACTGAATAAACACAAAGCACACACAACCTAATTGACATGTCGGTTCAAGCACCAAGAACAGCAAACAAATGGACATATTCCTAGCATTTTTCCATCAGGTTTTCCAAATCCCCTTGGTTTTCCACTGGGCTTCCAGCTGCCGAACCAGCAAAAACCGAAGAAGATCAGGCCCATAAACCTCAGGCCAGGCCGGTGTCGAGCTGATAGCCAAAATTAGTCACGTTTCAAGATGTGTTAAAACTTTTTGCCAACCTTTTTATGGGAATACAACAAGCAAAAACATTAAGCCGGAAAGCATGGTCACATGAGAGTCAGATTCAACTCCAAAACAATGGCTTTTGGAAGTGATTTGGTCGTTCCAATAAGCGAAAACAAGGATCGTTGTTCAAGCAATCCTCATTTTTCCGTGGCTTCGTCTATCCCTTGGCTCCGCACTGATGGATGGCAGTAAGCAAAAGGCCAATGGGAACTCCCTTTAAGCCTTGCGCCCATGCCATGTCGACATTGGATGCAGCTGGCCAGTGGTTCTCGAGCCTTCCTCTTCATCCACGACGATTTTTGATAGGAGATTCTTCATAAAGAGGTTCATCCCGGTTTGTGCCTGGGAGCGGGAGAAAAGAGTTTTAAAATTAAAATAAATTAAACATGTTTAAAATAGTTTCAAGCCGGCTGTTCTGTCTTTTCTGGAACATGATGCGGCACGGAGGAAAACTCATTTCAACGCACATATGGCGCTATGGCGCAGCTGAAATGCAAACACCTTTCCGAAAAGGGCTTTACGATGCTTTGTGGCATGGATGTTGCAAACCCTGTATCCTGACCTGTGGGTTTCATTGAGGCCATGCCTTGAAAACGCTGCTCCAAGGCTCCAAGGCTCCAAGGCTCCAAGGCTCCCAACACCAAAGTAGATCGAAAGGATGGCGGGCGTCTCTGGACCTGTCGCGTTCGTCGCTGAGGTTTCAAACTTCGCTGGCCCGGCTGGCCCGGCTGGCCCTGCCTCCTGCGAAATATAGGGCGAAACCACCAATGAAGGTCACTGCACAAATGACCTAAGCACAGGCTTCTCATGCCAACTGTTGCCAACTGTTGATGCGCCTTTGTGGTGAATCATGTCCAACGTAAAAAGTTGGCGACCCTCTAATTATACACCCAAACAGAATCCAAACAGGATATCTTAAGCAGGTTTCATGGCCAAATCGAGCCAAAACGGTTGAAATTGAAGGCGCTAGCCGCATCTAGCAGCATCTAGCCGCTATGACAAAAACACCATGCAGTACTGGCAACGAATAATGGTTCAGTATCCCATAGGATCCATGGTGCTGCTATATATGGTAACATGGATCTCATCAATATACCCCCTTTATGTTAGCATATATACCAGCACCATGGATCCTATGGGTTTTTCGAATCAGATGCAGCTCAGCCTTGACTCAGCCGCTCAGCCCATTGTCACAGTTCATGGAGCTGAGATCTGAACCATCTGCGACATGGCATTGGAGGATACAAAGGCCACGGGAGCAACCCCAGTTGCCTACACCAAAAATGCGCTATGGAACGACGCTGCCCACTGCCCACATCTGCCCACCAAAGCATCCCGAGAAGGGATGGAAGAGGGATTGACCAAAATATATAGTGTAGTAATCTGTAGAATACATGCACATATTCATATTTCTACAGACTGACTTTGACATGCTTTTGATGATGTTGGGACATGTTGGGCTTGTTTCTTCCCCAAAGAAAATGGTTCCAAGCCAATTCCGCGGAAAAATGGAACGAGGAATCCATCAAGCACAGCGACCATCAGCAACCACTGGAACCCGGCGGACCTCCGCTGATTCATCTTCCCAAATCGCCCAACGTGCAAAAACCTTGCTGGAGGGACCAGACCCTGAAGACTGCGTGGATCAAGAACAACCATGAACAAAAAGTGAAAAAACTCTCTGCACCTGTCGGCATCATGAAGGTCTTCCGCCCAACACAAGATTCAGAAGAAATATCTTCGTTCGATATGTCATCATCACCAACTTATTACTGCAACCCAGCTATTGAACTGGGCCGCCTGAGTGTTTCCCAAGGAAGAACATGGTTTTCCCTCCCAGTACATGTCATCATATGATCATATGATCAACTACGGGATACCCTGAAGTCCAAGGATGTGCTTGTTTGCCATTTTTTCTTGGACATCCTCATGTCAAGAATGAACCCACCGCAATCTGTATGCATCCAGAACATCATGATCATTGATATGGACACATATTATATGCTGCCACGTAGTAAAAACTTAGACATGTATGTGATTAAACTCTAAATTGTGCGAGCTAATCTTGAGCAGTAAGTGGAGGTCCAGCAAGTCCAGTATTTGACGGTCTTCCTTTTATTTACTTCATCAGTCATTTCAGGGAATTTCACTGTTTTTCCTCCAAGAGGTACTGGCCAACTCCCACAAAGAATACGTACACATATATCATATATGTGTATATATATAATGTATATATATAATATGTAAATATATATATATATACCAAGAAAAAACATACACAATAATACCTTGCACAAGAAACAAAATCATTGATATATTGTCATGTCCAGCTAAGTTAGCTGATGAATGCCAGTTTTGATGTCCAGGGCACTGCCGTCAGGGTGATCACCGCATGGACGGATCCCTGTCGTGCCAGTCTCCAGCGGCCTAGACTCACCCGGTTACTACCGCGGTCGTCTCTCAAAAAAGGCACCGTGGAAATCACCCCCAAAATGAGAAAAATATGGGAAAATATGGGTAAATCAATATCTTGGTTCGAGTTGAATTTAAAAGGACCTTCCCAACACAGCCATTTCCGCTGCCATTGCCAATCTTCTGAGAAGATTTTGGTAACCAGTTTTTGGGCATTAGCCAGGAAACGGTGGTGCTGCAATGTTCATGCTTTGCATCTTAAGCCAACAAAAATATGTTTCGATTCGAACCTTTGATTGTGAACATCCCAACACCTCGTCGTTGTGCGGCTGGAGCCTCAAGGGAACACAACAATGGAGTGAGAAGCGGGTGGCAAATGTCCAAAACAATGCATAATCTACCCTCCAGTAAATTAACATAGACCCTGCCAGATAAGGATTGGAAAACTAGTTTCTACTATAAATTGGTCATTTTCAGGGTCTATATTAATTTACCAGAGGGTATATAGTTTATGCACATATAGCGAGAGAGAGAGAGAGAGACGAAATCCGATACACATGATAGTCTGATAGACGAATACATGTATGCATGTACGTGCACAGAGTAGAATCAGTAGTTTGCATGCGTACATGCAAATGTGAACTTATTATATATAGTAAAAACATCATCCAAAGACCCAACAGTTATCCCAAAATATCTCAGAATGTTCCCTAAGATCTTCCAAAATATCAAGGCATCTGGCGGCATCTGGATAAATTAGACAAGTTCACCAACCTGAGAATAAGTTTATTTGGGGATGATTCCCTTTAATTATGTCCCAAACAAATACACCCATTCCAAAAACGACGAGCCTTCAATGGCCGCAGCACCATGGTCGGCTCACTCGGCCGGGATCCCTCCATTGCCTGAAGATTCAGCAACTTTCTGCTTCTTGGAATGGGAAATCTTTGGGGGCATCTTCTTGATTTGGGCTATCTTCAAATAGATTTTCGATGACTATCTCTCGGAGGTCAAGCCCGGAACATTACCAGACCACAGCTGCTGATGGAGGATTTGGCATGTTTCAGTCTTAAATCCAATCTCAAATATTCAGGAACTCATCATGATCAAGGCCAAACACTCAAGTTGTGTAGTGGCAGTGCACAGCGCTGGGGGGCAGACCTCCCCTTGCATCACACCTCCTAGCGCTGGGAGAGTGCCCCAGCGATGTTTGAAAAAAAGCAACTGAGCACAAATTGCAGCAGGATTACGAATGTGACCAAAGCAATGTTTTGTTTTTCCATGTGTCACTCTGTGTTTTCAATGTGCTATGAAGCGATGATTTGCGCATGTGCTTGCAGTGAATGCACAGCCTCCTCGTGGGCTAGGACAATCATGTCAGCAATGGTGGAAATAAACTCCCAAGATTAGGTGTCAACAAGACTTAATGAGGAACCCAGGAATCGTTTCAATGATTTGGAAAATTAATTCTCAATTGTGAGTATTTTTGACAATACTTGTGCCTCTGTCCGCGTCCAGCATACAGTAGATGGTACTCATCCATTTTTTAGGGCTACCAATGCTCATGCCTGCAGTTTGGTAACCAAACACGTGGAAAATCAGGTCCCAAATGGAGATCTCCACAGCATTTGTCAATGGATGCCACAGATGCTGGTCGTATTGTGTTATGTTTCTAGCCTATGTTAAAAAATGTTTCTATAGACTAACATTTGAAGTAAAGACTGAATGTACCACATTATCCATACGACTCAATACGAACATACATGAGCGACGACCTTTATTTGGTACATGCCGGAAGTAAAGAAGATTGGTGGAGTCCTAACTACATCGTTTACACGTGCAGCATTATACACCATTCCAAGAAAAATGCGTACGGTGTTGACCTTGTTTTCTAACGCTGTCACATTGTTAGCTTTTCGGACAACCTGGAATTCCTACCTCGCTTTTGGAGTTTCCCCTACATCGTTCTGCACCTCGAGTAAAACCTGCTTTTCGTCGAATACTACTTTCAATGGTCCTAAAGAAATGCGGCTGCTCGCACACACACAATATACATATGTATTTTATATATATAATATATATATATACTTCTATAATATACAGTAATTACATTTATATGGCGTCCACTATATATATATATATGTAACTAATATGTAACTACTATAATTCATAATCAATTAAACATGGTACAATTATATGAGTACAATTCTTTCCTTATAGCCTTATATTTGGCCTCCTAGCCAAAAGCGATGACAACACCAATGACTCCACTACGTCTCCACTCGGTTTTTTTAGGCGCCACTGAGCTCAATCTCATTGGACGTCTGTGCGTCTGAAAGGGAATCGCAGGCGTCCCGGCATCGGACCTCATATGAGATACGGTTCACGGCTTGGGATTTCACAGTGAAATGAAAATTGAAATTGACGGCGTGATGGAAAGTGATGGAATGTGATGGATGGCATGAATTTCTGCAAATGTGCATGATGATGCTGCATATTGGTGCACACATTTGGTGCACAATAGTGCTTTGTGCACATTCGCCTCTTGAGCCTTCCAAGTTGAAATTCCAGGGCGGTCCCACCAGCCAAGTAACCAGGCCGGAATAGATGCCGCTCGCCATCATCAGCCCAGCTATCGCAGCCAGGGAAATCATGGCAGTTCGCTGCGGATGGTGCCAATCAAACTCACCATAGATGGGGCAGTCCTGAAACCGGTGCCAAGAAACCTGCAAAGATGTTTGCCGCTGGAAGCCAAACTCTCCGGAAATGAAGAATTCGTTAAGAATTATATAAGGATATATAAATATATAACTATATAAGGGATTTTCTACAGTCGGCATTCCAGGAGAGGGCCTTGTCCAACAATCGCTGCAATGAAAAAGTTCGCAGTCCTGCATCGCATAGTCGACGCAGGGTTCATTCCGACCAATCTTGAGGTAAAAGTGGAGGACCGTCCAAATGATGAAAGTGGCTGCAAATAGCCTGGGGGCCGGGTTTTTTCTATGGGTGCTTTGCCATGATAGAACCCATAGATACCCATAGGATCCCATAGGTACTGAGAATGTGTGCAACCAAATGGTACCAGTTTCCTCCAGTTTGCCAAGGCCCGGGCAAGGACCATCCCAGGTGTCTCATCGAGAAAGGGATTCTGCTCACAAACAGGCCTTGGAGTTGGTAAAAATCAGCACCCAGTTGGTACATGTTGGTACCATTTCCCCACAAACTCCGAAAGAAAGCATGCTTCAATCACTTCAAACTTCAGCAGGGTGGCCAATCAGAAGAAGAAACCAATTCAAAAAGTGGGCAAAGAACGCGACATACCTCAGATGGTGACATTGGAAGATTTGGGATGTTCAATTTGATGCATTTGAATGTCTTGTCATGGCTGCGGATCTTCAATTCCTCTTGCTTCTACCCAATGAAACTCAAGCTGCAAGAACAGCCAAGCATTGGTGAGAAACTGTTGTTGAAGGAAGGCTGTAAACTGTTTCTAGAGACCACACCCAGGTCATGTGTTTTGATCCGCTTGCCATGTTTATCTTCTTGGTGGGCAAATAAGATTTCCACACATTTCCACATGTCCAAGCAGCACAATTGGGCGCAAATTCCAAACGGGGTTGATGAGCAGAAAAAACCTGGGTTTCCATGGGAAGAGCCCAACGATCACAGAGGTTGCAACCAAATCCACCAGGAGAATGCTGAGATTGTGGTGGCAATAGATGGCACATGGACGAGAATCCAATGTTCAAGCAGCTGCTCCCAGAAAGGATACAAGTCTAGGAGCACCATGTGCAGCACTTCCCCAAAGGGGATTTTAGTGCCAACTGTCGTTCCAATTTAAGACATGGGAAAATCAGACATGGGGTATCACGGCGGTTAACCTGGACACGAACAAAAATATCATGGCACCAAACAGGGGGAACAAAAACCAAGCCGTCGATGAATCGATGAACGGTCCATGCCAGGCAGCAGCAGCGTCACACTCCTGAGCTCTCGGACGAGTCTGAAGTTCTGCCGCCATAGCCCCGGAAAAAAAGAACAACTATCTGATAGATAGGTACCCTCTGGTAATGACTAACAGTTTGCTATTGAAAATGGCCATTGAAATAGTGGATTTACCCATTGATAATGGTGATTTTCCATAGTTTTTTGTATGTTTACCAGAGGGTAGTCTATAGAATCATCTGAGTCTAGACTAGGCAACCCTTCACATCCTGGAAAAAAAGCTGCGCGTAAAAACATGCGTAAACACACACTATAGCCATTCCAGGGCCTCTAGGGCAGGTTGTAACCTGGGTAGCAACCATCCCAGAAACATTTGCCACGCTGGATCTTCTTCCCAATTCAGGTTTGCAATAAAAAAAGCCACACATAGCCACAGCAGTTGAGGTTTGAGAAGGTTCATTCTTGTCTTAGCAATGTTTACATAATTTACATATGTTTACTTTAAACTCATGAATGATTTGAACATATTTGAACATTAGACATCATTAGACCAAATGAGACCAGCAACCATCACCAGCCCATGAGTTTCCCCCAAGCTTCAGCGACATCGGCGCTGCAGTGGACCATAGCACCATGGCCACACGGGCCGTCTTCGGCAGGCCGCCTCCACGTGCTCCCTGCGTCCGAAGAATCCGATAGCCCCGCAGGGCCAGGATGAACAGAAGGCATTCCTCGGTGAGGAGATACTGGGGACCCTGGCAGACCTGGAAGACCTGGAAGATGTTGGAAGATGTTGGAAGATTACACAATGGCTAACTGGTATCTAACTGCTTGGTGCTTGACCCCTCTGAAAAATCATGGAGTGAAAGTCAGTTGGGATTATGACATTCCCAATATATGGAAAGTCATAAAAGCCATGTCCCAAGTCGGGGAAGTTCCACTTCAACGTCTGTTGCACGACGTCGCTTTCAGAGATAATTTTTAATCAGCGCACAAGGATAACTCCCAAGCCCCGGCCCAGCTATATTCTGGTCACCAATGGACACTATGGCTTGCAAGTATCATTGAGCTCAGGCAGCGCATTACTTTTTGCTGTCATTCGCACTGCATAGGGGGTTTTCTTGAGGTAACTTGATGTCAAAATATGTCAAATTTCAGTCATTCATAGTCATTCTATCAAAAGTGAGCCTCCCCAACCCAGCAAAAAATGTATGCGTATTACCCCAGATCCATTGCCTACTTGGTTATGACTTATGACAAAGTGAGCCTCTGTGTGGGTTTTGGAATGGTTTGGATCCGTGCCAATCATCCAATCCGCATCGATGCAGATGCTTTGCTTCTCATGACTCTGGCGCAGAGGACAAGATACCGAGAACTGTGCATAGCCCTACACTTTGCACCAGGAAACCTCTAGCGAAAATTGCAATTCAAAGACATACTGAAATACATTGAAATACAGTGAAATACTGTATCAACAAAACCACACATTTAGCTGGGCTGGCCGCGGATTTTCCTCACCAAAACATCAAATAATCGACGGCCTCTTTTTTCAGAGCCAAAATTCAGAGCTGGTCTGGAGCATCAGAGCCCAGTTCGTCAAATAAATGCAGTATGCCCAGCCACGGTACCACCAGTGACCTGAAAGCAACGACATTTGTTTGGAAAGTAAAGCACGATCTGATCATGGAACTCTTCTGTAGGCTCAACCATCTGCATTTAAAGAGTACGCGAAAGGATATAGTCAAAGGCTCAAGGGATTTCTCCCCAAATAAGTTTGAGAAACACACATATACGTTTTCCACACGCAAAGTAAATAATTACATTGAAAAACATTGCAACACATTGGCAGGCATCCAATGTGAGCAAGCATGTGCCCCAAAAAGGTAGCAGCTGAACAAGCTCGAAAGATCAGCAAAGCCAGTGGGGAGATGAATGGGGAGGTGGCAAAGACCTTTGGCCAATCAGCATCCTCCTGGGTCCCGATCGAAGTTGAAAAGAGCAGCCGCATCCGTTTTTTGGAAATCACACCATGCTTCGAGTCCAGGAAATCAATTGCAACTGCGACATTAGGACTATCTTACAGCAGCTGGTGAAATGCCCCAATGAAAAATCCAGTTTGGTGATTTTGCTGACATAAGATCAATGGTTGCTGAGAACCAATGATAAACGCAAGTGTTTTGGGGCATTTCACCACTCCTGAGTGTGTTTACAGCTAGCTGCTCGCTGCAGCTGAAACTAAGCTGAACCCAACCGGCGGCAAACATGAATTCTGGCATCACCTGTGGATGGTCGGTATGATTCTATATCTCCACTCCTTAATCACAATTGGCCAAATGGCGAAACCCATGGCCTAGAAAATCTGGGTATGGCCAAAGACAAAAACCACTAGTTTGAATGTCTTTTCAAGAAGGGGGGGAGGCAAGTGGAAGGCCCATCAATTTTGGCAACCCGAATGCACCATCAGAGGAAAATTCGGTCCGACACTTCTCCGGAAGCTGAATGTGCCCCGATTTCACTGCATCTTAGCTCTGCAACCGCTCATCTTTTCTCCTCCTTTGGTGCCATCGCCAGGTGCCCCAGGTGCACCCCCAGAGCTCCACCCCGGAGCCAGATCAGCCCCCGGTTGACCTATGTCCAGCTTCTTAGAGCTGAGCCAACAAAAAAAATTAGCAGCTTGGGGCAACGAACCCAAAGCTGAAGTTTTGGCCAAGAAATTGGCCCAATTTTCGGCATTTTTATTCAGCATCACCAATGCCTGACCATGATACAAGTCATGGAAGTCGCTGGTCCACTGATGTTTCTCAGATTGCGACCAGCCACCCCAATGGCAAAATGATGCAAAATGGATGGCGGCTTCTCCGGAAGATCTGGGCTGGATCAAATCACTTTGCAAACTCAAAATGACTCAGGGGCATTTGCATGGGAGGCTCAATTAGGAATCGCGTATGACCCACACTTCCCGCTGCTCTCTGAATGAGACCGAAAAATACAGCCCACGTCAGGACGTGCAGCTCTGCTCAGCAGTCACTGATCGCAGTCATGGGCTGAACAGGCTTCGTGGGATCCTCGGGCTCCTACCTGATCGGCAACGTCGGTCAACAATGGTCAACAATGGTCCAACGTGTCGGGCCCCACGCAGCCTCACCGACCTGTACTACCTATACATTGAACAATTTCATTGCTGTGTCATCTTAATTTCTGATATTTGCTTATGGGTCCGCTTTGCCAGGAAAGTGATAGTTGGCACAACTGTTGGCGAGTTCGCCCACGGAAACGATGGGAAACGCATTGGCTCATCCATCACAATGCTTTCCAACCAGTTCCACGTGATGTATCGTGATGTCCTGAGCTTCCCACTTCGGAGTGACCGGTGACAAATCCTGGGCCCGGGCAACTCTGGTTGCCCCGGCAGCGGGAGAGTCATCCCCAAAATCCTCTAGATTCCATGTCTAGGGATGCAAAGAACCTCAATCCCTATGAGATTTGAAAAATAGAGAGATCAAAACCGAAACGAGGTGGTTTCAACATGTTTCAACTGTGAACCTATTTCAAACATGAAAAAAAACGCAGGAACATCTTCCCAACAATCCAACAGTAGCGCTAGATCCATCAATTGCAGCACATCTGTCCATGCAGCCCCCCCACATCTTCAGCGACCAAGCATCTAAAGTCAACCAGGAGATTATATTATATAGATTATATTTTATATCTATATTTATATTAATTATATATAGCTGAAAAGCAGCGCCCATCTTAGGCTCCATTCTCTGGTTCGTCTTTGGTCTCCGCTTCTTTTCCGGACACTTCCGAGACGGTCATGGCAGGGGAACAGGAGTCGCGGCAACGGAACTCAGTGGCCAAAATCACTGGAGAAATCACTGGCCTGAAGAGTTACCCCAATTTCAACATACCAAAAAGGTCGTTATAGTTCACCAAAATGGATGCCTTGTGGGTGCCCTTTCCGAACCAAGGAAGAATTCAGAACATTTCCAGATTGCAAATTATGCACTCCCACAATGACTGTCTCAATGTCAAAGTATCGCTTGAAGAAAGGCTCTTGTGATCTCTTGTGGAAGTAGTCTTGCCGAAACTATCCAACGAAAAAAACACGATGCCTTTACAATGTTCTGTCTGTACTTTGACGCTTTCAATCGCACTCATGTTTGAAAGTTCTTCAAAGTTCCCCTGCCGCATTAGTGATTCCTCCAGCAATTATGTTTCTGGCAAGGGACCAAGCCCGTGTAGAGTCCTGCGACCACGGCATATATCACCAGCGTAGCCAAGACAATGAGTGTAGTGATCCCCGGCATATTCCAATCAAACTCATCATAGATGGGGCACTCCTGACACCAGTGACAGCGTTGCTGACGTGTGCCCAGCATTGCTGTAAAGAAAGGAACATAGGGAAACCATGGGAAACCAGGCATTATGGAGAACATTGGCATGTCACCGCCGGTGTCTCTGGCATGTCCCATGCAAAGTTTTGGCGCGGACAGCCTGTCTTGAAAAAAAGTGACCTTCAAACAGTGCCGTGGGTCACGGCTTTTACCCCTTAAGACTCATGCTGCATGCTCATATGGGAGTGAGCATAAATTCTGGCATGGATCGTTCCGCGGTGATCCGTACTATGGATCGGGAGTGCTTACGTAAGGTGCCTGATCCGTACCCTTTCGTAAGGGCTCATCATAGCAAACAAATTGTGCTGATACTCTTACTATCTCCTACTTGCTATTACTTCTCCTCCTGCTACTGTTGCTGCTAAAACTGCTACCACTGCTGGTAGAGGGAAATACCAGCACCAGCAGCAGTAGTGGCAATAGAAGGAGGAGATGCAGTAGCAGTAGAAATAGCAGTAGCAGTACCAGTAGTACTAGTAAAAGTCATAGTAATAATAGTAATCTAATGGAAGTAGCAGCAGCAGCTGCAGTTGTACTAGGAGTAGGAGTAGGAGTAGGAGTAGGAGTAGTAGTAGTAGTAGTGGTAGTGGTAGTGGTAGTAGTAGTAGTAGTAATAGAATCGGTCTTTCATATTGGCATTTGTTGTGGCGTGACTGGGTTCGGGTATGGATCGGGTATGGAACGGGTATGGATCGGGGTATGGATTGGGACACGCTATCTGGGCCGGCTTTCCCGCTATGGCTGTGAAGGAAGAGAACGGGGTATTTCTAGTCTGGTCTAGTTCTACACGTGCCAGGCAAAGCAGAAACAGAAGGAATTGTAATCATAGCGCCACTATAGAAGTACAAGAAGCACCTAGTGGAACTAGAACCAGTCTTACTAGCGTTCAAGGTCCACTTGCAGTATTGCTAGTAGCTAGTCAACTAGTTGCATTTGTCCAACTACCAGAAGCACACGGAGGAAGTGAATCAGCACCAGCAGCGGGAGCAGGACCAGCAGGAGCAGCAGCAGAAGCGACAGCAGTAGCAGCAGCTCCTGGGAGGAAGATGACTAGTAGTGGCAGCAGCAGCAGCAGCAGCACGGAGGCAACGGAGGCAACGGAGGCAGCGAGCGGAGGCAGCGGAGGCAGCGGAGGCAGCGGAGGCAGCAGTAGAAACAACGGTAGTAGCAACGGGAGTAGCAGTACGAGGACCAGAAGTAGTATTAGGATAAAAAGCAGCATTAGGGCCAGCATCAGTCTTTCTTCAACGAGAAAGGGGTACGGATCAAGGGTATGGATCAGGGGTATGGATCTCGGGTATGGATCACGCAGTATCATGGGGTATGGATCGGGGTATGGATCATGGAGTATGGATCGTGTGTGGGCCCGGGACCTTGATCCATGCTTTGTATTTATACCCGCACCCATATGGGAATATTGAGGGCCAAAAACATCGCAGTCTTTGCAGCAAGGGATCCGGATCGGGATACAGTTCGCAGGAACCTCCCCTTCCAATTCGCGCAAAGAAGTGAATCAAAGTCCAAACGAGGTAGGCAAGGAGGAAGACCCTCAAATTGAGCCGATCCAACATGAAAATCAGCTCTCTGGACATACCACTAGGGGCAGAGCTGTTTGCACGTGGTTGCTGCGACCATATGGCAGAAATCTTTGGAACCAGCGTGCGCAACACGGCGTGAAACACCATATACCACCATGGATTCGACAATGTTGGATGATGCTGTTCCCAAGTCCCCCTAACCCGGACCAGCAGCAAACCCCAAATGGAATTCTTGAAGGACCACGGAATGCGGGAAGCAAAAAGGCCTCAAGAAACTTGGGACAACAAATGCTGACCTCTGAACATTGGCGTTCGGGAAGTAAAAAAAACTTGCTTCGAGTGATTCCCATTGTGGAGTTATATGAGAAATCTGGAGTTTCGTGGTCCTAGGTCCTAAGTTTTTGTCAGGAATAAGTAGGAATTTGAACGTGTAATAACGTGTAAGTGCCACCAAACAGTGCTGTCTGGTATGCCTGGTATTGGCCTGCTGAGTGGAGGAGAAATGGATAGGCCACGCAAGTCACTGTGAGGCCACCCAGAAGATCCAAACAGTGGATGATCTTGAGCACTTGATCCACAGACTCACCGAAACCTATAATATCTATAATGCGGCTGTCTTCCAGGGTTTGCCAGGTCATGCTTTGGGAAAACCTCGTTCAAATCTTTCACTATTTTTTTAAAGCATCCATTCTTTAAATATTCTACAGTCTATTCTGAACGTTCTGACATCCTCATACTCCAATACATTCCTCACATTCCTCACATCCATTCCGAATGTCAATGACTGATCAACAACTTTCAAACTCTTGCCTCCGCCACTTTCCCTATTTTTCATTTCCTTCCAAAAATTGACAACTTTTAGTGGAGAATGCGCTGTCCTAAATCCTAAATTGATCTATGTATGGTTTTCAACAGGAGCGCATGTCAATGTATGGTTTTCAACACCTTCCCGCCGATGATGTGTGCTTTTAACCCCTCAGATCCACGCCTAAAGGTTTGGCCAGGACACTGGCCAAAAGACACAACCAGTTGAACAAATGCGCCCACAACGACGAGAGCTCAGGAAGAAAGGGATCGTCAAAGATAGGATTGATGAGGGTCCAATACCTCGCAACCAAGCGATTCTGAGGTGCTGGTTGGGTCCTGTTGATGAGTTTCTGTGTGTTTTTTCAAGCTTTGATGTTCTATAGAAATACACCGGAAATTCCCAGAAGAAACGTGCATCGTGGGCTCACAGTATTCCAAAACAGTGAAGGGATGCCGAGCCCTGGAAAAAATGGAATACAGCACGCTCAGCTTAGTATCTACGAATCCTGTGCTCCTAAAAGGTGCCACCCCAAGGAGCAAAACTTAGCGAAAGTTAAATCTCGCGTGCTTAAAAGCGTTGTGGACCTCGGTGCGATTGGATGTAATTGAGAACCACATAGTGAACCAACTTGACAGATTTGGCAGACTACAATTTTTACTCTTGACCGATGCCGTTAAGAATCTATATCATGTATTACAAAACATTATGTAACCAATTTCTGCGCAAACATACCCCGGCTACGAGCAAATTTGTTCACGCCAAGAAACAAAATCACCACGATCCTCGGCTAATGATTGGCGGGGGGCTTGAGCGGTTCGAACTTAGTGACCCCCAAAAGTGGTTTGCTTAATATACTAATAGAGGCCGCACTTCTGGCCACTTCTGTACCTTTTCTCAGGGCCATAACCAGTCGCAGCTGAGGGAAATTCCATTTACGATTCCATCATGAGTTAATCCTTCGGTGTACATCCTCTGCTGGTGCACCGATGCCGTCCGAAAGTTGGCCGACGAAAACATGAAATTTGGACTGACCAAGAAATGTCGCCTCCCATCTTAAAGAGCATCACAAACAAATTGTGCAGCACACCATCATTTTTCCAGCTATTGAATGCAATGGATAGAAAGACAGAAAGTATCAAACAAACCTTTGCCTATAGAAAACGCATGTGCGATGAGCTAAACATGCTACTGATTCCATGGTGATCGGTTTAGCGGGCATCGCTCCTCAAGGCCCCCTATTGCCTCACACAGTGGGAGCTCATTTTGCTAAAAATGATGAAACATGACATACATGTTCAGGCAGGCGTCCGCGATGCTCCGCCAAATTCTGTCAATGAAATTTAGAATCTATCTGGCGACTAGTTTTGTAGCCATCGGTCAGCTTCGCAACGTGCAGGTTGCTTTCCCCGTCAACCATTTTCAAACCCGCTTACACAGGAAATTGTTGACTCAAGCTTTGCCACTGCTGGGAAGAAGCGGGAACTAGATAATGATGTCGATGAAGCCCGCCATTTGGCTTGAAGGACGCATTTGCGAGCACAGGCTGCTGCCCTGCTTTTTCCGCAACCCTTTTGCATGCTTTCTGCCTTTCTGCCATGCTCTTCAAAATCCGGATGTGGCTGCCGTCTTCTCTCCAAGTCCGGGGGTCTGCCTGCTTCTGCTGATTTGGGGTATCGCTCCAGGTATCGAACTGCATCGCTTCAGGCATCGTTCCCAAAAGTTTTTGTGCCGGAGGCATGCTGGTCTTCAGTCATCGCCTTATCTGCTTCTTGCAGCTTTCCCTTGTCGATCTGCACACTGAAGACGACATGGGAAGATGAAAGCATGTACGATGCTCAGGCGGGTATGGCTCTTCAAGGCCCCCTATCGCTCCCCGCAGGAAATCGCACATTCTTGAAAGTGACGGCGGACGAATTGAATACAACATCTCCACATACCATCTTTTGACCCTTGCTCACATGAAAAAACAACAGCCGGCCACCACTCCGTCCGAGGTTCAATGACGTTGGCTGAATCAAATACCACAAGGCCACAGTGTAGCGAACAAAGAGCGGAGCCTTTCCCTGCGAGGGGCCATCAGGCAACTTGGTGTAGCCCCACGCGGTGGAGATGAAAAGCATCACCATAGTGATCGTTTGCAAGACCAAGGCCCAATGCGTCAAGAAAATAGCGTAGAAGCCACCTTGATCCTGAAGAACTTGGTCGGGGGAAGCAGTGTTGATGGGGGTCTGCATGGCAATCCATTAAAATTTTGAGCAGTCAATTGTCACTATGGACATTGCGTCCTAACTGCTTGAAAACCTAACCTCATTATTACGCGAGAATTCTGGAAGAATGTCAGCACCGGCAATGGTGTAAAGACAAAGTGCTGGGATGTTGTCGGCGAAGTGAAGGATCTGAAAGGCCACAAAAACGATGGCAAAGATGCCGTTGAAGATCAAGTAGACCAGTGGCGGGAACCAATTCGACGTTGCTATCTGGGCGCTGGGTTTACCCCAAAGTTGTCCAGCCAATCTGGCGATTAGCAAAAATCTAAGGCTGCCTTTTGATTCAGTCCGAGGGTTGGAAAAGTTGGGTTGTGGCACTTCGGGAGCTCTCATCATCTAATCTATCTAATCTATCACCAAGTCATCCTCACCCGAGCCTCTCCGGGCCACATGATCTCAATCTTGAAGGGGTTGCTGCACCCAGTCATGGTGGGGGATCCAGATTTTTCTTGGCTCGGCTGGAAATCGGATCCTGGATCCTAAAATGGCGAATGTTGCTGCAGGAACTGGTCAAGGCCCATGTCACTGATCCAGTTGGGTAACTTTCTTGACGTCTCTTGTCTTGCATCTCTTGCATTGTTTTTCATGTTTGTTCGAAGTGATAAGCATTGGCAGCATTGATGGTACATGTGATAAATGACAAGTGGTGCTGCATTTGCTGTTTCGAAGGGACATTTCACCACTCTTGAGTGTGACAGTTGAAGCCACCAACACCTTGCATTCTATTGAGCTCTGGAGTTTTGGGTGCAACAAAGTCGACACAGTCAAACAAAGGAAACACAGAAGGCCGAAAAAAAAAACAATTAGCAAAAATAGATAAAAATAGGTAAAACAGAACAATGCGAAGCAGGGAAAATATGATGTCTTTGGTGGTCATTGTCTCTGCATTTTTTGCAATGCTGTTTCGTTGGTGCATTGTTAATTTCGTCGGCGCATGCATAGGAGAAACAAACACGAACCCCCGAAAGCCCCCCCCCCAAAAAAAAACAATGAACAAATACCAGCAAACACATGGGAAAATGCACTTGCTTTGTCGTTGTTCCAGTTTTTGTTCATATTTGGTTGCATTGTCTTGTGCTTTATATTGTGGGGGAGTATGTTTTGTCCTTTATGTTTTGGGGAGTGCCTTGGCCTCCTTGTCTGTGGAGGCCAGAAACTATTTCCTAAATAAACCCAATTTACAGAAACTATTTCCTAAATCAACTTTAAATTGGGAAACTATTTGAAATTATTTCTTAAATAAACCCAATTTACAGAAACAATTTCTTAAATCAAACCAATTTGCAGAAACTGTTTCTCAAACAAACCCAATTTACAGCAACTATTTCCTAAATAAATCCAAATTGGGGAAACTTTTGAAAAACATAATATCCAATAAATTATACATTATATAGTAAAAACTAAAGAAATAATGCAAGTTAGGCCTTCTAGGGATTGGTTTGAAACGGTTTGAAACTGAAATATTTCAAAAGGGGGGGTGTGTCCCCCCCTTACACCTAGAAATATTCCAGCTAAAAAAAATTGGTTTATACTGGTCTCTCCAGGGCCTGGTTGAATGCATGCATGTACGTGTATATGTATGTACGTACGTCGAAAATGAAAGGGTGTGCCAGACCATCTCTGGGTTGAAATGTAGCATCCGGAGACCCCCACTTCTTTTGGAAACCCAAAAAACATTTGCGGGGGGCATATTTCATGTGGTCAGTTAAAGGGGTGGGGACCTAGCAAGTAGCGGGAAACGGTTTGAAACGGTTTCGGACCTATTTGCTAATTAGCAATTCTCAGAAACTAATTGAAATTATTTGAAACTATTTGAAACTACTTGCAATTTTGCCAAGGTGATTTAGCAAATAGTAGGAAACGGTTTCGGACGGTTTCGGACTATTACCTAGCAAGTAGCCGGAAACGGTTTGAAACGGTTTCTGTGATACCCTTATTCTGCCTTAAGTCATCAAACAGGACAATATACCAATAAATAAAAGTAAATAAAACCTAAGTTAACAAATATAGACACATTATGATGTATTGAATCTCTTTACAGATTGAAAAGCAAGAAAGAAACAGTGACTGATTCTGAGATGAAGCGTCAAAGAACATAGAACGAAACAGAATGAAGAATGCCTGTGTCAACGGCCTGGCAGCCTCTCTCTCTCGGGTGAGAACATGGCTCACTCGTCTGTGGCAATCTCTGGACTTCAAGTGATCTACTGCTATCCTTGTCCAATGGTTGGGATTGGTAAAAGCAATCCTGGCTTTGCAACTGGTTTCTGGTTTTGTGGCCGGTTAAGAAATAGTTTCTAGGATTTAAGAAATAGTTTCTAGGATTTAAGAAATAGTTTCTGGGATTTAAGAGATAGTTTCCAGGATTTAAGAAATAGTTTCCAGGATTAAAGAAATAGTTTCCAAGATTTAAGAAATAAATAGTGTCTGGGATTTAAGAAATAGTTTCCTTTCATATTTATATACATCTTAGGAGGGTTAAGCTGGTAGGCTCCCGGCGAAACCGGACCCCCCAGGCTCCCCCGACAGACCTTGAGAAATAGAGAAAAGTTCAGGCACACACACACACACTAATCCGGACTTTTGGGGGAAACCCCCGGCTTGGGTGTTGTCTAAAATGCCATGTGGCAAAGGCCTGCTAACAACATCCCCCAACTCACCCGCAAAGGCTACCAGCCACATGGTTTTGTTTGGGGAACAAACTCCTCTTTGATCCCACAACTTGTGGGTATCGCGTGTGGGAGTATTCGCGGCGTTGTATGGTGCATTTGGCAAAAACTGCATTGGGACAGGGTATGTGTTTATGTTGCTGTTTGATACACCCTTTCCTGGATTGAAACAGCATTACAACTGGTATGGCGCGATAGTACTCCCAATTGGATTCTAGATGGTTTCAAGTTTCAAGCGTCAACAGTTCCAGTGTGGTGGGCCATGGGTGAAGGAGGCCCTAGTACTATTCAACTGGCATGTGCGGTAAAGACATTAGTTCTTTCTCACCACAAACTACCATTGGCAAATGCGTGTTCCAAGATCGACCAGGTTTGCCCTTTCAGCATGGTCAATAACAACTTTTACTTGCAAATATTACCCCTTTGATTCAAGTAATGGTTTCTGGAAAATCAACATGATTTAGCAAATGGTTTCTACATCTTCTACTTTACTTGAAAAAGGTTTCTACATATCCTACTTATTTAGCAGATGGCCGCTAGTATTTAGCAAATGGATTCCAGTATTTAGCACATGGTTTCCAGAATTTGGCAAATAGTTTCTAGTATTTAGCAAATGGTTTCTAGTGTTTAGCAAGTGGTCTCTAGAATTTAGCAAATGGTTTCTACCTGTGCAAGAAATAGTTTCTGGACTTTACAGAAATGGCAAATAAAGAAGCCAACACACTCCACAAGTTATGTTCATTTCTTTTCAAATCATTGGCCGGTTTCGAACTGAATGCATTCTGCTTCCTCACAGGTTGTAGCTGCAAACTCCAGCTGAAGCTGAGCGGGAAAGCTACACCCAAGCAGGGGGTCTGGGGTTGGTAATTGTCCTGTTTCGGGGGATTTTGAAAATTACCTTTTTGTACTCGTTGGATGCTTCCACAATTTCAATGGGTTGTTTACCAACCTTCAAATCAACAGAGATTAGCTCCTCACCAATACACAAGAAGAGGCAGAACCACCGAGGAAAATTCTGATTAAGATGAACTTCCAAGGATGGGCATGTCCAATGGGCATGACCACAGACAATTGTTTGATAGTCTTTTTGAGGATCAGGTATGCAAATGGACGGATACCACCTCTAAGCACTTGCACTATGCCCCAAAGTCATTCAGGACGATTGACAGAAACAAAGCCATCATTCTAGGTGGCTTTTGAGTATGTTGTAGTTTTCTCATGCCTTGGGATCAAGACAACACAGTGCTCCTAGATTGGGTGATCTAGAAATGACTGAATTGCGTTTATCGTTCCGTTTTTGTGCGCTATGCTTGTAGTGCGATCGATATTCCCTTTTCTTCCCGTTTGAAGGCCTTCAATGAATACACTGTAGCGCTTTAAAGTTTAAAATGGGTGGTGCCTGTGTTCCGTGAAAGGGCAAGTGGCTAAGTGAGTACAAGTGGATGGCGCAACGGACGTGCTGCGGGTAATTTCTGCACATATGCGAATGGACAATAAAGATAGACTTGGATAGGGGAAGCTGAAGCATGCCAAAGCAACTGCTCATCTTTTCTCCTCCTTCGCTCAGGTGCCCGAAGCACATCTGTTTTGATGCAAACCCCGAGAGCTGCAAAAGCAACCCCGACTGATTTTCAGCCTCACGGGGCCAACAAGAAAAACAGCTTGAGGCAACTCATTTTTGAGCCCAAAGCTGTGATTTGGAAGGTTTCTGCTGCAGGAAAGACAGCATCACAAAGTCGCTGGGCCGGGCCGGTCCACTGTTTTCTTCAGATTGCGACCAGCCACCCCAATGGCAAAATGGTGATTTTCCCGAAGATCGGGGTGGATGATATCATGTTCCGGCCTCAACTAGCAACATTTTGAAGGCCCAACAGAACCCTGCCATTCTCTTGGCTTGTCGCACCCCACACTTCCTCCCCTCTCTGAATGATACAATCATGATACAGCCCACGTCTTCAGGAATTAATTACAGTATATAAATGTGCAGCAGTGCATCTCTGCTAAGCAGAATTGCCGCTTGGTTCCCGCTGGATTGCCAAAAGCAATCATCACCGGGAGCAGCCATGGGCCCCATGGGCCCAGCACACAGGAGCCAACTTGCGAAACTCACATGCTCTTGGGGTTGGCAGTGAGACAGAGAGCATTGTGAATCCCAAAGGCTTTTGAAAACAGAGTGGAGTGATGTCACGATTAAAGCATCATGTTCCGACACTAGTTTTGAAGTGTCAACATGGATTCTGGGATTCTGACATGGATAAGGGCCCCAAGCAGCCCCAAGAACCTGGACACTTAACATGTTTATACAGTTTTAGTATGTTTCGGGGCTGCATCGTCTTCATGTCTAAATATGTCTAGAGTCTATATAATAATGACATCCGACGACCTTTAGGTGACCGGTGGCCGAAAGTTCTGGAAGGGTCATTGCATGTCATGCCAGCTCTTGCAGGGGAAGATCACCCTCGCAAACTAAACGTAGACAGTAAATAATCCAAACGAAGTCAATTTCAATGAGAATAGCAACAAACACAGAAAGAACCAATGCATGATGCGATGGTTCAAACGTTCAATCCATTTCAAACATGCGCATCACCGCGAACATCTTCCCAAGCGGGGGATAGACACCAACAAAAACTTGATTCAACATGGAAGAACGTGTTTGAAACACCACGGATAAATAAATAGTGTCACTCCATTGCCATGCCACAAGCATCGGCCCCACAATGATCATCCAGGATTTTTGGGTGGCTGAAGAAGTGCCGATCCCATCCCATCCTAGGCAGCGTTCTCAATCGTCTCAATGTTCTGAGGTCCATCTTTGGTTTCCACTTCTCCCATGGGCGTGGCGACGCAGCATTTGCGGCAACGGACCTCGGAAGCAGCCAGCAGAGATGATGCGATGGAATGATTTGTAGGGGCCTTTTACTTCCAAAGAGTCACCCCATGGCATTGCTAATATAGAGACAACTACATTGAAGGTCATGCAACTTGTCATTCTGAAGATGGGCTCTCGTCGCAGCTGTTTTTCTATACGTTTGATGCCTTTGCATTGTTCCATCTGTATTTGCTTACACTCTCACCGCAAATCTCACCCAACATATTTCTTCCAAGGCGCAAAGGCCGTGTAGATTCCTGCGAGCACGGCATATCCCACCAAGACAAAAGCGGTAATGATTGTGGTCATCATCGGCATGTTCCAATCAAACACGGCATAGATGGGGCACTCCTGACAGCGTTGATGGCATCTCTGATGTGTGCCCGGAATGCCTGTACCGATAACATCGAAACCAAATGACACGGAGAACATTGGAAGAATTGGCTATATTATCGGCATGTCACGTTCCATTCTGGGATTCCTCCCAATTGGCTGTCATCCAAATATATTCAAATCTTGGTTTTGCTACGTTTCATTTAAGTAATTAGCGGAATTCCCGTGGGCCATCTGATGGCCACCTGGGTTTCAGTAACATCATCGCCAGCTGCTGATGTAGCACAGGATGTTCCCTACATGTGATTAATTTTCTGCGAATCCCGCTTCGAAATCTTATTTCATTGTGGCTTGCATGCTTGCCTGTAATGACCTTCACAGAAAGACCACCTCCATCTGTGCTGTGGGTCACCTTTTTGCACACTTAGATTAGAGGTCATGCATGTGCTTCTAGCGACCATGTGAGATCCAACCCCTCTTTGCAGCAAGGTATCCGGATCGATATGGAGTTCGCAGCCACGAGGGGTACCAATTTGCGCGAAGAAGTGAATCAAAGTCCAGCCGAGGTAGATAAGACCAAAGACCCTCCAAACGATAGGTTGATCCAACATGACAATCAGCTCTCTGCACGTGTGACACCATCACAACAAACATGGAAAACAGTTTGCAAACCATGGTTTTTGGCAATTTCGGCAAGACCTTACTTCACCCTTGAGATTCGGGTACTGCAAAGCCCTCTGCACGCGGTTTGGCGATCAGATGGCAGAAATCTTTGAAACACTTGCGCGACACAGCATGATACAGTGACAGTCTCAGTGACAGTCTGGACACGCTGAGGCCGTCCCCAATTCCAATTCCGGACTAGCAGCAAACCCCAAATGAAGTTCTTGAAGGACCATGGAATGCGGGACGCAAAAAAGCCTCAGGGTCTGAGCTTGGAATGACTTCGAATGCATTCGATCTTGCAAGGATTGGCCCACATGTGAGTATGGTTTGGATGCCGAGTCATATTTGTCGACTGGATTCCACTGGGCTTAATCACTTCAGGTCCTTCAGGTGAGATATATTTTCCATGTGCGTAATATTACCATAAACTACCCGGAAGATCCAAGCAGTGGATCATGTTGAGCAGTCGGTTCCCTACAGGCCCAGTTCGAGATCCGAAAATCTGGTGCTGTGATGGTATGGTGACGGTTTGGGAAAACATTCCAAATCTTTGACTTTGTATCTTCAATAGTATCCATGCCCAAGATTTCACGGGCTATTCTAAATGTCACTCACATCCAAGCCCCATATCAATAACTGATCAACATCGTTCCAACTCTTGTCTCCATCGCTTCGTTGTTGTTCCTCCCCTCTGTATGTTCAATCTTCTACGGGTGATACGGTGATAGTTGATCTAAGCCTTCTAAGGCAAGAAAAGGTTGAGCAAAAGTGTCAATGTATGATAATGCATGGCTACAGGCTATCCTGATGACATCTGATGACCATGATGCGTGCCGTGAGCCGGATGTGTCTCCATATGTCCACATATTAGTCTCCATATTTCATACCTCCAGTGATCAATCATCAACTCCACCCTGCCATCTGGGTCCAGGGAACTAAGCAAAAGACACAGCCAGTTCAGCAAATGCATCCACAGATTTAAGAGCCCAACAGGCTCTAAATCCCAAAGTGGATTAATGAGGGTCCAGTACCTCGATGCCGATCCAAGATGATCCAAGGGATTCTGAGGTGCCTTTTGGATCCTGATAGGGGTTCTCTATATTTTTCAAGCTTTGAGGTCCTGGAAATGCGAGAAAATCCCAGAACAAACATGCTTCTTGCGGGCTAAATTCCAAAGCATTGAGAGGCTGAGCCTAGGAGGGAACATGGAAACAATGGGGAAACTGGAATACAGTCAGAATACAAGACACTCAGCTTGGTATCTGGTAACTGTGGATGCCTTTTGCCAAAGGTGACCCCCTTGACAGCAAAAACATAGCAAACGTGTGAGACTTTCCCTCCATGGCCATCCCAATGAGTTCAACAGCGGTCAACCTTCATGAACACTTTTCAATAATGGGTTGAAAGGTAGTTTACTCCGGCAAGTGTGCTCAAAAGCGTTTCGGGGTTCAGTTTCGGCTCAATTGGATATAATAAAGTGGGAACCACATACCTAGGGAAAGCAACTTATAATAGATTTTGGCGGAACCCACCGGATCTGACTTTCGAGCTACAATACCCTTTTCCATAAACCTGTTGTATATCAAACCGCTCCACCAACATACCCAGTCCAAAGACCCATTGCCACCTGCGACCTCGTTCACGCCAAGAAGCAAAATCACCACAATCCTCAACTGATTAGCTGGGGTTTGACCACCTTGAACTTAGTGACCCCCACAAGTGATTTGTTTCACACTAACAAAAACCACACTTTTGGCCACTTCTGCGCTTGTTTCCAGAGCCTTACCCATTGGCAGCTGAGAGAAATTCGATCGCAGTCTGTGCTTTGGGTGAATCGACCACGGTTGCAACGAAAACGTCAAGAAATTGATCGCCGAGAATGTGCGAGATGTTTTCAAAGTTTTTGAATGTTTGATGTCAGGATGTCTGGCCGTGTCGACCAGTTCTAATCGAAACCCTGGTCACTGAAATAGGGGAACGAAATGGAACAAGAATAAATAGTTCCCCAAACAGTGTGTCCACACTGAGGGGTTCTTACGGTAGCTGTAAAGGCCGGTGCTTGATCAGGGTGCTCACTCTGGTCTGCGGCATTTTACCATATTTTACCTGTAAATTTCCGGATAAAGTGGCGTTTGTGAAATCTTGACATGCGTTTCGACTGCGCAGGCTCGCTCAAAATGTGTGTCTGCGTTCTGGGCCCCACCTAGGCCGCGGCATTTTGCCTGTAATTTTCCGTATAAAGTGGATATAGTGATGTCTCTTGTGACATGTGCACATGCATTTTGACTGCGCAGGCTCGCACAAAGTCTTCGTCTGCGTTCTGGGCCGAATCTGGGCCGCCGCATTTTTCCTGTAAATTTCCTTCTAAAGTGGCTCTTCTGATGTCTCTTGTGACATGTGGACATGCTTTTGGACCACTCAGGCTCGCACAAAGTGTGTTTCCCGGTCTTGGGATCGGTCTTCCTCTTCAACCTCATCATCCTCAACATTATCATCTTCCTCCTCCTCAACATCAAATCATCATCTTTCTCTCCCTTGACATCATCATCCTCAACCTCATCATCCTCCACCTCATCTTCCGCAACATCATGATCATCCACCTCATCTTCCGCTACATGTTCATCCTTGTCATCCTCCTCCTCAACATTATCCTCCTCAACATAATCATCTTCCTCCTTCTCTACACCATCATCCTCCACCATTTCATCATCCACTTCATCTTCCGCATTAACATCCTCATCATCATCATCATCATCATCACCATCACCATCACCATCATCATCACCATCATCACCCTCACCCTCACCATTATCATTACCATCATCATCAATATCATCATCATCATCCTCCTCCTCCTCATCATCATCATCATCATCGTTCATCCTCATCAACATCAACTTCTTCCTCCTTCTCTACATCATCGTCCTCCACCTTATCATCCACTTCATCTTCCGCACGATCCTCATCCTCATCATCATCATCATCATCATCCTCATCATCACCATCATCATCATCACCATCATCACCATCACCATCATCACCATCATCATCATCACCATCATCATCATCACCATCATCACCCTCACCATCATCATTATCATCAACATCAACATCAACATTATCATATATTATCCTTTCACTCCCCCCCCCCCACACTGTTTGGGGTCTCTTGCCAGGATTTGTGTTTTTCCCGAGAGCGTCTGAGCGCAGGGTTCTTCCAATAGTGGGGGTCTGTATCTCATCTTCTCATCTTCACACCTTCTCATCTTCACACCTTCTCATCTTCACAGCTGCTCATCTTCACATCTTCTCATCCTCACATCTTCTGATCTTCACATCTTCTCATCTTCACATCTGCTCATCTTCACATCTTCTCATCTTCACATCTGCTCATCTTCACATCTTCTGATCTTCACATCTTCTCATCTTCACATCTTCTCCTCTTGCCCTCTCGCCCTCTTGCCCTCTTGCCCTCTTGCCTTCTTGCCCTCTTGCCCTCTTGCCCTCTTGCCCTCTTGCCCCTCTTGCCCTCTCCTTCTTTTCTATTTCTCTTCTGAAGGCGGGGGCGGGGGCAGTGCCAACGAGACGGCACGAAACGCAACCCTTTCGCACGAAACGAGGTTCGATCGTCAAAAACTGCGGAAAAATTGCGATTTCAAGGTGTCCGCCGCAACCCTTTCGCACGAAACGAGGTTCGATCGTCAAAAACTGCGGAAAAATTGCGATTTCAAGGTGTCCGCCACAACCCTTTCGCACGAAACGAGGTTCGATCGTCAAAAACTGCGGAAAAATTGCGATTTCAAGGTGTCCGCCGCAACCCTTTCGCACGAAACGAGGTTCGATCGTCAAAAACTGAGGTAAAAGTGCGAGTTCAAGTCGTCCCGCCACAACCCTTTCGCACGAAATGAGGTTCGATCGTCAAAAACTGAGGAAAATTGCGATTTCAAGGTGTCCGCCGCAACCCTTTCGCACGAAATGAGGGTCGATCGCCAAAAACTGAGGTAAAATTGTGATTTTTTCTGTGTGTACAAAGCTTCTGTGTGCTGTGTGTGTGAAAGCTTCTGTGTGTAAAAGCATCTGTGTAAAAGCGTTTGTGTAAAAGCGTCTGCTTAAAAGCTTTTGTGTGCTCTGTGTCAAAGTGTCTGTGTGTCAAAGCGTCTGTGTGTAAAAGTTTCTGTGTGTAAAGGTGTCTGTGCGTAAAAGCTTCTGTGTGTAAAAGCGTTTGTGTAAAAAGACGCTGTGTAAAAGCTTCTGTGTGTACAATCTTCTGTGTGTAAAAGCCTCTGTGTAAAAGCTTCTGTGTGTAAAATCTTCTGTGTGTAAAAGCCTCTGTGTGTAAAGCGTCTGTGTGTAAAGCCGTCAGTGTGTAAAAGCTTCTGTTGTGTAAAATCTTCTGTGTGTAAAAGCCTCTGTGTGTAAAAGCGTCTGTGTGTAAAGCCGTCTGTGTGTAAAAGTTTCTGTTGTGTGAAAGTGTCTGTGTGTCAAAGCGTTTGTGTGTAAAAGTGTCTGCGTGTAAAAGCGTGTGTGTGTAAAAGTTTCTGTGTGTAAAGTTTTCTGTGTGTAAAAGCTTCTGTGTGTAAAAGCCTCTGTGTGTAAAAGCGTCTGTGTGTAAAGTTGTCAGTGTGTAAAAGATTCTGTTGCGTAAAATCTTCTGTTGTGTAAAATCTTCTGTGTGTAAAAGCCTCTGTGTGTAAAAGCGTCTGTGTGTAAAGCCGTCAGTGTGTAAAAGATTCTGTTGTGTAAAATATTCTGTGTGTAAAAGCCTCTGTGTGTAAAAGCGTCTGTGTGTAAAGCCGTCTGTGTGTAAAAGTTTCTGTTGTGTAAAAGTGTCTGTGTGTCAAAGCGTTTGTGTGTAAAAGTGTCTGTGTGTAAAAGCGTGTGTGTGTAAAAGTGTCTGTGTGTAAAAGTGTCTGTGTGTAAAAGCTTCTGTGTGTAAAAGCGTTTGTGTAAAAAGCGTCTGTGTAAAAGCTTCTGTGTGTACAATCTTCTGTGTGTAACAATCTTCACCCCTCCGTCGAATTGCTGAGGTGGCCACGACAATGATGACTTCACTGTGACTGCGTGAACATGGGCCGGCCTGTGTGTAAAAGCGTCTGTGTGTAAAAGCGTCTGTATGTAAAAGTGATTGTGTGTAAAAGCGCTTGTGTGTAAAAGCGTTTGTGTGTAAAAGTGTTTGTGTGTAAAAGTGTTTATATGTAAAAGTGTTTGTGTGTAAAAGTGCCTCTGTGTCAAAGCGTCTATGTGTAAAAGCTTCTGTGTGTAAAAGTTTTTGTGTGTAAAAGCGTCTGTGTGTAAACGCTTCTGTGTGTAAAAGCTCCTGTGTGTAATAGGGTCTTTGTTAAAAGTGTCTGTGTGTAAAAGTGGCTGTGTGTAAAAGTGGCTGTGTGTAAAAGCATTTGTGTAAAAGCGTATGTGTGTAAAAGCTTCTGTGGGTAAAAGCTTTGTGTGTAAAAGCGTCTGTGTGAAAGCGTCTGTGTGTAAAAGCTTCTGTGTGTAAAAGCTTTTGTGTGTACAAGCGTCTGTGTGTAAAAGGGTCTGTGTGTGAAAGTGTCTGTCTGTAAAAGCTTCTGTGTGTGAAAGCTTTTGTGTGTAAAAGCTTCTGTGTGTAAAAGCTTCTGTGTGTAAAAGCTTTTGTGTGTAAAAGCGTCTGTGTGTAAAAGCTTCTGTGTGTAAAAGTGTTTGCGATGCAAACTATTGTCTTGCACTTCTGCTATTTTGTCTTGATACTCCTCTTCTCGACTGCCTATAACACATCTTTAATATATTGTTTGTAATATGGTGTCTCCATACTAACAAGAGAAGACCCTGCTCCTCTACGCTCTTGGGCCATCCGTCGTCTAGTTTTTTGCCAGGGCCTCTCTAAGGTTTGCCCAGACTTATTCAGTATACAAATGCAAAACTGCATTGCTGCATGAATGAAGGAATGACTAGCAAGCACCTAGCATGGCTGGAACCTGCAACAACCGACTGCAATACAAAAGAGTTCACCCTCCGATCAAAAGCTATCGAAAACAAATTGTCCAGCACAGCCTGCTCAGTTAGTGAAATCATGAAGTTAAAGTCTTTCAATGCTAATTGACTGGACAAAAAAAGGGCATGGAATTCACACAAACTTAGAAAGAACATGAAAGAACAACCCTTCATTAATTATTGCTTCATCTGCATTTAAGATCATTTTAAGTTGTTGCGTCCGAGGTTCAATGACGTTGGCTGAATCAAATACCACAAGGCCACAGTGTAGCGAACAAAGAGGGGAGCCTTTCCCTGCGAGGGGCCATCAGGCAGCTTGGAGTACCCCCACACGGTTGAGATGCAAAGCATCACCATAGCAATCGTTTCCACGATCAATGCCCAATTTGTCAGGTAAATAAGCCAGAATGCGCCAATGTCCTGAAAATATTGGCAAGGTTTGGGAGCAGTGATGATTGGGGTCTGCATGGCAATATATGGCAATCCACCGAGCTGTTGAGCGGTCAATTGTCACTATGGCCAGTGGGTCCTTCTAGCCCCATTGCAAAAGAAAAAGTCAGCACCTGCTAGTTTAAATAAGACGAAGTGCTGGGATCGTTTCGGAGAGAATCATGATCAGAAATGCGACAAAAACAATCGCAAGGAGCCCATTGAAGATCGTGTAGACCAGTGGTGGGAACCAATTCGACGTTGCTATCTGCGCGCTGCAGCCCACAGGGGACTAGGTTGCACCCCTTATACTGTAGTTGAAAGTTGGGGCCAAGATCCCATGGAACAAGTCTAATATCAAAGAAATGCGTCGCAGTGAGTAAGATCCAACCTTCAAAATGTAGGTGTGTGCGTGTGTGCGCTTGTGTGTGCAACAGCTGGTAAACCTTAAACCTTTTCTTTCTTACTTAGACTTCCCAAGTATTGCAACCCAAGGGTTGCACCGTGGCCCACTTCCGTTATTAAATACTTTCATGATCATCTCCAGTGGGTTCTGTGAGCCATTGCGCAGGCACCCCGATTGACTTCTGATCGGTCTGTCGGTCATCGACGGCATCAGAAACCCTTGAGACCTTGAGAATATCCCCCTTAAACCGGCTTCTCTCAATAATCTGTTGGGGAAAACCACACTTTATTTGACTGGAGAGTCAAGTGTGGAGGCTATAAGGCTCTCCAGGTAGGACCTGGTCATTCAACGATGTGATTGATTAACTTAACAATTTATGTAGACTAACGCAGGGTGCACGAGCACCATTGCAGCAATTGTTGGTGAAACCAGCTGATCAGTGGTGTACCTTCCTGGTTTTATCACCTGTTTCCCGAGTCTGGTGGTTGTTCAACGATACATCTCTTTTTGCAATTGCCATCAATGCGTTCCAAAAGCATCTGGCTACGCCAACTTGAGGCCAAAGGGTAAGAGACGAAAGCGAGCTGGGAGGGTGATGCTGACGACGATACGGGGACGATGTCCGCACTGGGGATTTGAGCCAAGGCAGAACTGGTTGTGGAAAAGCCTGGAGGGGTACTTAATTGTGAAGTTTCATGCGATTGGCGATTGCAGCCCCTGCTAATACCTTGCTAAAGCAAGAGGGCCTTAAGCTAAGAAAAACTATAGTTTTCGTGAAAAAACTCGTCGATTCTTTGGTCTCTACCCTTTGAATATAGAAATCTGACAGTGTTGCATTGGGAAATTTTCCACATCGTTTTTTTTTTGCCATGGACTTTGTCATTGCTATGATTGGAATTGGAGATCTAGCGCATAGATGTGCATAGTACGTTCGGTCACACGGATGTGATTCTTCGACCAATGAGCAAGGGCGCAGTGAGTCTCATTCCACCCACCGCCCAAGAACTGCGTGAGCCGAATCTCATGTTTAACATTGTTTAATTATATTGAATCTTATGTCGAAGAAATTGCACGTCTGCTGTAACCTATAAATTCTGGACTTCTGAGCAGCTTTCGACACTTGGTCACGAAGTGACATATTCAAACTTTATTTTGATCGATTTCCCTCTTTGCCTAAAGAAGACATTGGATTGCGGCAGCAATTTTACGCAATGACATAAATCTCTCTTCCGTTGTTCATATTGTCACGACTTCTCCTGAACATTCCTGAACCAACAGTGTGGCCAGGCCCAATGGAGCCTGCTCGGGCCATCGGAGCTCAACCTTGAAGACGTTGCAGCAGCCAGTCATGGCAGGGATTTATGTCTCGGTCCTGATCCCCTGCTGGGGATTGGATCCCGGATCCAAAAAGGCTCCAGAAGAAGGGGAATGTCCCAGTAATGTGCCAGTAATGTCCCCAGGGGAATGATGCTCCATGATGATGATGATGATGGTGATGGTGAGGGTGAGGGTGATGATGGTGATGATGGTGATGATGGTGATGATGGTGATGATGGTGATGATGATGATGGTGATGATGGTGAGGATGATGGTGATGGTGAGGATGATGAGGGTGATGGTGAGGATGGTGATGGTGAGGATGGTGATGATGAAGATGATGATGATGATGATGATGATGATGAGGATGATGATGATGATGGTGATGATGGTGAGGATGATGGTGAGGGTGAGGATGATGATGGTGATGATGATGATGGTGAGGGTGATGGTGAGGATGATGATGGTGAGGATGGTGATGGTGAGGATGGTGATGATGAAGAAGAAGATGATGATGATGATGTTGATGACGATGACGATGGTGATGATGATGATGATGGTGAGGGTGATGGTGATGGTGAGGATGATGATGGTGAGGATGGTGATGGTGAGGATGGTGATGATGAAGAAGAAGATGATGATGATGATGATGATGATGTTGATGACGATGACGATGACGATGGTGATGATGATGAGGAAGAGGAGGAGGAGGAGGAGGAGGAGGAGGAGGAGGAGGATGGTGATAAAGATAGACTTGGATAGGGGAAGCTGAAGCATGCCAAAGCAACTGCTCATCTTTTCTCCTCCTTCGCTCAGGTGCCCGAAGCGCATCTGTTTTGATGCAAACCCCGAGAGGTGTAAAAGCAACCCCGCAGGAGCCAGATCAGCCCTCGGTTGCTGACTGATTTTCAGCCTCACAGGGCCAACAAGAAAAACAGCTTGAGGCAACTCATTTTTGAGCCCAAAGCTTTGATTTGGAAGGTTTCTGCTGCAGGAAAGACAGCATCACAAAGTCGCTGGGCCGGGCCGGTCCACTGTTTTCTTCAGATTGCGACCAGCCACCCCAATGGCAAAATGGTGATTTTCCCGAAGATCGGGGTGGATGATATCATGTTCCGGCCTCAACTATAGCAACATTTTGAAGGCCCAACAGAACCCTGCCATTCTCTTGGCTTGTCGCACCCCACACTTCCTCCCCTCTCTGAATGATACAATCATGATACAGCCCACGTCTTCAGGAATTAATTGCAATATTTAAATGTGCAGCAATGCATCTCTGCTAAGCAGAATTGCCGCTTGGTTCCCGCTGGATTGCCAAAAGCAATCATCACCGGGAGCAGCCATGGGCCCCATGGGCCCAGCACACAGGAGCCAACTTGCGAAACTCACATGCTCTTGGGGTTGGCAGTGAGACAGAGAGCATTGTGAATCCCAAAGGCTTTTGAAAACAGAGTGGAGTGATGTCACGATTAAAGCATCATGTTCCGACACTAGTTTTGAAGTGTCAACATGGATTCTGGGAATTCTGACATGGATAAGGGCCCCAAGCAGCCCCAAGAACCTGGACACTTAACATGTTTATACATTGTAGAACCCCCGTTTGGCTTAAGACTGCTTTTACCGTTTTGGTGCAGGAGGGGGGGGGTATTGGTGCACGGCTGGTGCGCGGAAAAGGAAAATAGGGGCAAGGGTGGGTCTGGGAAGGGAAAAATAGGTGCGGGAGTGGGTTCTTGCCAATCTATGGATCCAGTCAGGATCCCGTCGGGACCCAGTCGGGCACCAATTTTTGCATTTTTGGGCACCGCTTTTGGCCAGAACAGTCGGGATCCAGTCGGGATCCAGTCGGGATCCAGCCGGGATCCAGTCGGGATCCAGTCGGGATCCAGTCGGGCACCAATGTCGGGAGGCAGCCAAATTCATAAAAAATAGCATTTTTGAAGTGTTTTTGCATGTTTTTCGGTGATTTTGGCTGCTTCCCGACAGGTCCAAACGTGGTGCCAAAAATTCGAAAATTGGTGCCCGACTGGATCCCGACTGGATCCCGACTGGATCCCGACTGGATCCCGACTGGCCAAAAGCGGTGCCCAAAAATGCAAAAATTGGTGCCCGATTGGGTCCCGACTGGGTCCCGACTGGGTCCCGACTGGGTCCCGACTGGATCCCGACCCGGTTTCTTCAAAAAAACACCTATTTCCTTAAATTTGAGCACCTATTTTTGAAATTTTAGCACCTTGCCGTGCACCACCCCCCCCCCCCCCTCCGGACCCCCCCCACCAGTCTTAAGCCAAACACGGGCTTGGCAATTTATACAGTTTTAGTATGTTTCGAGGCTGCATCGTCTTTATGTCTAAATATGTCTATATAATAATGACATCCGACGACCTTTAGGTGACCGGTGGCCGAAAGTTCTGGAAGGGTCATTGCATGTCATGCCAGCTCTTGCAGGGGAAGATCATCCTCGCAAACTAAACGTAGACAGTAAATAATCCAAACGAAGTCAATTTCAATGAGAATAGCAACAAACACAGAAAGAACCAATGCATGATGCGATGGTTCAAACCTTCAATCCATTTCAAACATGCGCATCACCGCGAACATCTTCCCAAGTGGGGGATAGACACCAACAAAAACTTGATTCAACATGGAAGAACGTGTTTGAAACACCACGGATATATAAATAGTGTCACTCCATTGCCATGCCACAAGCATCGGCCCCACAATGATCTCCAGGATTTTTGGGTGGCTGAAGAAGTGCCGATCCCATCCCATCCTAGGCAGCGTTCTCAATCGTCTCAATGTTCTGAGGTCCATCTTTGGTTTCCACTTCTCCCACGGGCGTGGGGAAGCAGCATTTGCGGCAACGGACCTCGGACGCAGCCAGAAGAGATGATGCGATGGAATGATTTGTAGGGGCCTTTTACTTCCAAAGAGTCACCCCATGGCATTGCTAATATAGAGACAACTACATTGAAGGTCATGCAACTTGTCATTCTGAAGATGGGCTCTCGTCGCAGCTGTTTTTCTATACGTTTGATGCCTTTGCATTGTTCCATCTGTATTTTGCTTACACTCTCACCGCAAATCTCACCCAACATATTTCTTCAAAGGCGCGAAGGCCGTGTAGAGTCCTGCCAGCACGGCATATCCCACCAAGGCAAAAACGGTAATGATTGTGGTCATCATCGGCATATTCCAATCAAACGCGTCATAGATGGGGCACTCCTGACAGCGTTGATGGCATCTCTGATGTGTGCCCGGAATGCCTGTACCGATAACATCGAAACCAAATGACACGGAGAACATTGGAAAAAATTCTATATTATTGGCATGTCACGTTCCATTCTGGGATTCCTCCCAATTGGCTGTCATTCAAATCTTGGTTTTGTTATGTTTCAAGTAATTAACGGAATTCCCGTGGGCCACCTGATGGCCACCTGGGTTTCAGTAATATCATCGCCAGCTGCTGATGTAGCACAGGATGTTCCGTACATGTGATTAATTTTCTGCAAATCCCACTTCGAAATCTTATCTTATTGTGGCTTGCACGCTTGCCTGTAATGACCTTCACAGAAAGACCACCTCCATCTGTGCTGTGGGTCACCTTTTTGAACACTTAGATTAGAGCTCATGCATGTGCTTCTAGCGACCATGTGAGATCCAACCCCTCTTTGCAGCAAGGTATCCGGATCGATATAGAGTTCGCAACCACGAGGGGTACCAATTTGCGCGAAGAAGTGAATCAAAGTCCAGCCGAGGTAGGTAAGGAGGAAGACCCTCCAAACGATAGGTTGATCCAACATGACAATCAGCTCTCTGCACGTGTGACACCATCACAACATGCTGTCCGCACGTCTGAGACTGTTTGTGCTTGCAGGTCACTGCAATAAACATGGAAAACAATTTGCAAACTATGGTTTTTGGCAATTTGGGCAAGACCTTACTTCACCCTTGAGATTTGAGTACTGCAAAGCCCTCTGCACGCGGTTTGGCGATCAGATGGCAGAAATCTTTGAAACACTTGCGCAACACAGCATGATACAGTGACAGTCTGGACACGCTGAGGCCATCCCCAATCCCCTTTCAGGACTAGCAGCAAACCCCAAATGAAGTTCTTGAAGGACCATGGAATGCGGGACGCAAAAAAGCCTCAGGGTCTGAGCTTGGAATGACATCAAATGCATTCGATCTTGCAAGGATTGGCCCACATGTGAGTATGGTTTGGATGCCGAGTCATATTTGTCGACTGGATTCCACTGGGCTTAATCGCTTCAGGTCCTTCGGGTGAGATATATTTTCCATGTGCGCAAAATTACCATAAACTACCCGGAAGATCCAAGCAGTGGATCATGTTGAGCAGTTGGTTCCCTACAGGCCCAGTTCGAGATCCGAAAATCTGGTGCTGTGATGGTATGGTGACGGTTTGGGAAAACATTCCAAATCTTTGACTTTATATCTTCAATAGCATCCATGCCCAAGATTTCACGGGCTATTCTAAATGTCACTCACATCCATGCCCCAGACCAGTAGTACTGCACAAGGCGGTGGCGTAAGTTTCAAAAATAGGAAACCTATAGGAGAGATTGGTTGTTGTGAATCAGGGATGGCAGAGCGAAGCCACTGATGGACTGAAAGGTGCTTGATCTCTCTCACTTTTTCTCTCTCTTTCTCTCTTTTTCTCTCTGTCCCCCTCTTTTTCTCTGATTATCTACCTACCTACCTACTGATCTATCTGTCTACCTATCTATCTGTCTGTCTGTCTATCCCCCTATCTATCTAACTGATCTATCTACCTATCTATCTAGCTGTCTAGTTTTCTAGCTATTTGTCATCTAGCTTCAACCCATCGATACAACGTCTTTTCCTGTCAACACTTAACATGGACATTTCATGACCCTTCAGAAACGATGCCTACCGAATGCAACCATGCCGTTATAGGAATAACTGAACCCGAACCATGGATATGAACCCAGTGCTGATGCGCCATCGTGCAGTCACACACGCTGGCCTGCAACGACTTCCAAGTGCTAATGTGCCATCGTGCGGTCAGAAAAAAACACACACGCGTGCCTGCAACGAATTCCAAGTGCTGATGTGCCATCATGCGGTCAGAAAAGACACACACACGCTGGCCTGCAACGAATTCTGGCTGCTGATGTGTCTTCGTGCCGTCAGAGAAGGCCCAAGGGATGCATTAGCGTGGAAGGAACTAAGGAGGCTGCGGCACCAAGGATGCTGCGGCACCGTAGTGCCGTCGGAACACCGACAGTGACTCACCAACGGTGGCGAACAAAATCTGGTGACTCAAATTACTTTACTTCGTGTGATCCCCACCATGACATTTATACATTTTCTTACTGGCAAATCTTCTGGCATTCTATCTGACATATCTTCTGGCATTCTATCTGGCATTCTATCTGGCATATCTTTTGGCATTCTATCTGGCCGTTGAGGTCCAGCGGTGCACACTGAGCTGGGCAGGTCCTAGGTTGAGGTCCAGCGGTGCACGCTGAGCTGGGAAGGTCGCAGGTTGAGGTCCAGCGGTGCACACTGAGCTGGGAAGGTCCCAGGTTGAGGTCCAGCGGTGCACACTGAGCTGAGAAGTTGGCAAAGAGCTTGGCGAAGAGAGTTGGCAAAGAGCTTGGCGAAGAGTTGGCAAGGCGGAAGTGGAGGTGGAAGTTGATGCAGACATGGTCGAGGAGAAACTAGAGGAGGAGGACGAGGAGGAGGAGGAGGAGGACAGCTAGCCGAGGAGGAGGAGGAGAACAACTCTGATAAAATCTAACAACCCTCACCTGGCAGGTGGGGAACAATCTGCATTTATTGGTTGATGCCACTTGACTGCTTGTCACCGCAGATCTCCAGCAAACGCCGCGATGTGCTTCCAAGAAACATGATCCCGGATGCATCAGCGGTAGCAAAAAAGGAAAAAAAAAGGATTCCAATACTAGTGTGAAGCTCCTCCCTGCTGCATCCCATGTTTATCTATCGATCTATCTATCGATCAATCTATCTATATGTCTGTCTATCTATCAATTTTTCTATCCGTCTATCTATCGAGCTAACTATCTCTCTATCTATTTGTCAATCTGTCTATCTATCCATCAAATTCTCTCTCTCTCTCTTTATATATATATCTCTCTCTCTCTATCTGTCTATCTGTCTATCTATCTGTCTATGTCTCTACCCATCTATTTCTCTGTTTGTCTTGGTATCTAACTATCTGTCTATGTGTCTATGAATCTATCTGTCTATCTCGCCATCAATTTCTGTAGCTTTCTCTCTGACTATTTATCTATCTGTCTGTCTGTCCATATATCTATGTATCTATTTGTTTGTCTATCTATCTATCTATCTCTCTCTCTCTATGTATCTATCTATCCTATCTATCCTATCTATCCTATCTATCTATCTACTTATCTATCTATCTATCTACCTATCTATCTATCTATCTATCTGTCTAGCCATCTATCTATCTATCTATCGATCGATCGATCTATCTATCTATCTATCTATCTCTCTATGTATCTATCTATCCTATCTATCCTATGTATCCTATCTATCCTATCTATC